GGGGCATTGCCGAAATTCAGTGAATACTGTGGACCGATCAAGAAGAAATCGTATAGCTACGTATCCGGGATCATAGGGATAGCGTACAACCCTTTCCTGAGTGAAGACATACGCGATTGCTTCTTCGATTACGAGCAGGCGGTGTTGCTGAGATTCTGGACGTCCAGAATTGTAACGATTAAGAGCGTTAACAATCCACAGGCCAGATTGGGACTGGTCTTGGAAGAAGAGGTGACTGCACCTTCAGTACCAAAATCCGACAAAAGAGTGGAGTTTGGGTTGGGATTCTCAGATGAATTACTGAGAACGAGTTTGATGGCAGTGTGGGAATTGATGAGGCCATCATGGTGTCCTAGTCCCAACGCTGACTCGATATTGCGAGCGACACAAGACGTGCAGGGGGAACTGAATGCAGAATGTAACCTGCGTGACTTTAACATCATATATAATGTATGATAACGGCCTCTAGGAGCAACGGAGAAGATAAAGTGGAGTTGCCTGGCTGGGGATCAGAAGACTGGGTCAAACCTGGTAGCTGTCTGGCGGAAGTCTGTGGACTGGAGGGTCACGTTTGTGGAGGTCTGGACTGTGTGAAGACCCTGGAGAAACAACACAAGCAATTGACGGTATTGTTTGGAAACGTAGTGATGAAGGCAAGAACAGAAACGGAACTGATAGCAGATTGCCATGGAGGAACCGAGGTGAATCTAGTGACTGCACTAGGATTCTACAGCATGTTTGGTTCTTTAGAGTCACTATTGAATCTAGAACAGAAACATGAGATGGTCACAGCCATCAGTGTAGAGGTATTCCCAGGAGTTCTGCAGACTGAGCAGAAATACATAGGAAAATGGAGGGAAGCAATCGAGACGGAAATGAACATCAGACACAGTGAGACTTATTGTAGACCATCAGGAGCACGATATTTGGTGGGTTCGACATTGGCTCCAATGTGCAAGAGCAGATACCCTGTACATTTCGTGGCTGTGGACGTAAAGAGTACGAGAATCAACTGTCACAGATTACAATGCAGTAGATGAGAATGATGAAGTCCACCGAGTGATGATGGAAGTGGAACCATTACTGGAAGCTTCGGGAAAACGTAATTGGAGGAGCATCATGTTGACACATGACGAGTTTCCTTGCCACTGCTTGCTGCAGACCTGGTGGTATCCCAAGCGTAGTAATCTGATGTTGATCTGCGACTCTGGAGAGCTGCTCTCCTTGGGTTTACCAGATTCATCACGGCCCATAATAATAGTGATAGTGGGAGTTATGATGGCGATACGATGGCTGGAAGCTCATGTGAGAGAAAATAATAGACAGGAGGCACCGACGAGAGAACAGTTGCGGAAATTAGATTGTCTAAAAGATTTAGATCTTTTTGAGACAATGTGCAAAATTCTAAACATTCCGATGGAAGTGAAGAAAATATGGGCAAGAAAACGATTGATGCCATGGTTCAGAGCTAACATGACTGCATGGTTGTACGAATATGCGAAAAAGCATATGTCGAAGCACGGCAGGGTGTACAGTGAATATCAGTTGGACATTGGAGCAGGAGCTTTCAAGCGAGCTCTCGTGACTCATCGGAATGCAGTGACCACCGCTGTGAAAAGAATTTCCCGGACGAGTGAACGTAGTGGAAAGGAGAAGGCAGAGATGTTAAAGGAAGATTTGGAGAGAAACGTGACGTTGTGTCTCCACAACAGCTTCTGCAGGAACAGAGAATCTAACGTGGATCCCCTACCTTGTTGCAAACAGAGGGTAGAAGAGCAGAAGTGTTGGAGGACGGCTTCCAGCAGCGTCAGGATAGCTAACGACGTGTTGCAGGATACGGAGACTGAGAGTGCAGAGTCAGTATCACAGGAGGAAGAAATGGAACATTGACGAATGACCGGAAAACAAGATGCAAAAAGAGATGAAATTAGAAGAATTTAGAAGTTTTAGAACTTCTAAACGACGAAAAAAGAAGAAAACAAAGGAGTGGTGAAGGAAAAATTAAAACTCAGAATTGTTTTATGTGTGTGAAAAAATTCAAGTGAGAAACCAAGCAGCCAAGTTGTAATTGAAAACTGAAACCTTTATTTGAGTTTGATATTGTTGCATTTATAAATTTGCATTTTAATTTTAGTTGAGTGGCTTTAGAGACACTCCCTTACTATTTATTTAGAAAGGCTTGAGTGAAGGAGTGTATTTAAATATTCCAGCCTACATGACTTTTTTTAATCAGCTAGGAGAACTGATCACTTTGTGGTGACATAGAAGGCTTGGGTAATCTCTCGAAGAGGGAGGTTGTGTCATTGTTCTTTCTAACCACAGAGTTCCTTAGTTTTAATATTCAGGACAATAACAAGCAAAATTTCCGAAGGGAAAAAGCATATTAGGATAATTGTAGCTTGTTGGTTGGAATTACACAAACCAACACCTTTTAAATCTAAGAGAAAAAGTTTTAATCGGGACATTGACATTGGAAGTCAGAAAATATGTTTTATCTTAGGTCATATCCTCAATGTGCATATTAATGAAGGAATTTGAAGGCTATAGTGATGTGGTATGATGCCATTTATATTCTGCAGTGAGTCGATGTGACGTGGATAAAAGTAATTTCGTGCATTTTGTAAATTCTGTTCGATGACACTGTATCTATTTTACGAACATTGCGTGATTCAATGAGGACATTGACCGGACTGTCCGGGGAGTATGTGACATTCGACCAGAATGGACAAAATGCAATCTCTGCAGATTTCGAATTTTTAGCAGTGAACCTTCCGAGTTAATGATTTTGAAGGATTAACGACGTTATTCGGATGATTAGCAGAACGGTGAAGGTCAGGATATTCCCGTATTTTAAAATTTTAATTTTTCGAAGTGATGACGTAACATTTCTGAGAAACGTCAGAAACGGCCATTTTGGCAAGAGAAGCTGAAAAGCAACAGAACAACATTAGTTGCGATAGCAAGAAGAACAAAAATTGTGATAGAAAAACGACAACGAATCACGGTATTGATAGAGAACGTTCCGAGTTGCAACTATTGTGTCGCTACAAAAGTTGCAAGGCCGTTGCGAACAACGGTGAAGGGTGGAAGACAGCCTTCCGGATTACGGAAAAGTCAAGTTTAACGAGCTTGATTCAGTGGATTCAGAATCCGGAAGGGTTTCGGCACTGAAACTTTTATCCTTTTACATAAACTTTTAGCTTCCTTTCATGTCCTGATTTGAATTTAATTAACAACTGGATTCATTTTGATAAGGATGAGAAGCTAGGAGTTGGGGGAAAGGGTTGATCCATCTTTGATGGAGATGATGATTTTTATCTACTGAACAAAAACAATAGTAATATAATAAATAGTAATAGCCCTGTTTTTAGGAGTGACCTCGTGGTCTGGGGATACTGAGACCCAGCCATGAGCTCACTATTTCTGCATGTAATCTAGTTAATTTGAGTGTTTTGACCGAAGCCGAAAGCAGTAACGTTTTTGTCGACCCGATGTTAGAAAAGACCACCGAAAAGTACTGGCTTGGCAGAGACGGTGAAAAGCATGTAAAGCTCTGTTTAGACGTTAGCCAGTCGTCTTAGGACTTAGTTTTATTTTCCGTCGATATGTATCTTCCGGGCGAATGTTACATACAAGTTCTAAAAAAAATCAAACGGGTACTTCCAGCTGTAGCTGCGCTAATAGTTAATAGCATGTAAACCCGTTTAGCAGTAATCATGTGGTCGTTTAGGAACCGATAATAGTAGTAGTAGTAGTAGTAGTAAAAGACTTTAATTCCATTGGTGGATACAGGGTTAATATAAATATTGAATGAACTTACGATCGACAATTTTTACAAAAACGTTTGACAAAGAATGTGCATGATCTGTTTATATCAAACAAAGTTGAAGTTTTAAGCAGTAAAAATTTATTCAGTTTTGATTTGAACATTCCCAGGGGCATGTCGAAAGATATAATTTTCAGACGCAGAAGTTCATTGGCAGCACGGGGAGCTCGTACAAAGAAGTTATCGTCAGTTTTCAATTTCCTCGTGTTCGGTATGACGAATAGGCCACTCGTAGCGGAACGCGTAGGAAGCGAGCTGGTTGCACTTTTGCAGTCAACATCAATAACATTGTTATGGAGCTTCCAAAGTAGAAGAATTTCAACTCTAATCAATACATAGCTAATTGGAAGCATATTCAGATTTAGTAGCCCTGAAACATACGATGAACATTTCTTGATCCATCTTAGAACTTTGTACTGGAACAGTTCAAGCTGATGTAATAGTGTCAAAGAAGGGCACCATGCAGGAGCACCGTAAAGTAAGATTGACAGAATGAGAGTATTGTAAAGTAACTTTTTTCGACTGCAGGATACCGAGAAAGGAATATTTCGTTTCAGAAAATAAAACAATCTGGAACATTTTATCAACTTAGTATTCAGATGGGATTTCCAGGAAAGATTGTTGGAGACTATGATACCAAGATCTTTAATTTCATCAACAAATGGTAAGATGTCTGATCCGAGCAAGAATTGGATAGAATCATCATAACCACCAAAGTTCAGAACTTTACATTTGGCAGAATGAAACTGTAAGTGATTGTTAGTTGACCAATTAAAAAGAGAATCGATATCTTTTTGAACTAATGATGGAGCAGATGAGCTATTAATCTTCAGGTCGTCTGCAAATAGATAAAATTCACTATTTAAAATTCAATACGCTAGCATGATAGTTTAAATGCTTTTGGGACCAATTTGGAAGGGGTATTTTGTATTGGCTTTGGTTTGAACGGCTAAAACTGGTAGCTCGAGTATTTCACGATAGTTAGAGATGTACAATTGTTTTCACTGTCCGTCGATTTAAAAACTTTCCGGGCGAAGATTAGGCATCTAATAATCATTAGCTTCTTTCTCTAGCCGTTTGTGGTTACAGTCAAGATTTTTGAATATCCGTTTTTGGACATAGCTCTCCTACTTTTTTTTTAACTTAAGTATCAAATGTGATATTAATTTTGGCACATTCGCAACTCAGTTTCTTACCTTAATTGAAAAATAGTTTAAAGGATATAAATGGAATAGCAGTAGTTCCGTAAAAAAGTTGGTTTTCTTCAGATATAAATATGCCTAGTGACGCGGATCAGGTAAATAGCCCTGTTAGCTTTTAAAATTCTCCGACTTATAGACTGAATATCAATTGGACAATATAAATTTTTTTGCAGGTAACTGACGATGAAATAAGAGATGGAGAAGCTCTGAAAAAGAAATTACAGAAAAAACACTCAAAAACTGTGAAGAAGGCAAGTAAAATTTATACAACAAGTTTTTCTTCTTTCATTCTTGACAATTACGAAGTATATGGCTCTATCGGATTGCTTTAGACTAGTTTTAGTTGAAAGTCTATTGTCTCACTTGAAATTTAAACTGGATTTTTAAGTTAATTTTATTCATTGTCAAGCTTCCGCAAGAGGAATATCGAGATGGCACATGAAAAACTTAACATAAAAAAAATTTCAGCTCGGTACGCTAAAAGACAGCCAGGATTTTGGAGCCTCGACAGAGATTCGGATTAAGCGACCGAAGAAAACAAAGAAAGTGAAAGCAGATGATCTTGCGGAGGAAGGAGGAAAAGATGACACTGAACAAGAAAAAAGTCAAACAGACGTTGCTGGCCATGAATTGGAAGCGGAATCAGCTGGTGATAAAGTGGACGGAGGAAGTGATATTGAAACTAAAACAACCTCCAAAACTTTGGATGGTAAGCGCTTCAGTCATCATCTTTTAGATACTCTTTGGAAGAGTTTTTTTTTTTAGAATTTTCTGGGTAGGGTCCTAGCTGTGGCAGCGACCTCATCATGACGTTCTTCAGCAATGTCGAAATAAAACTCCTGTTTTGTTTGCATTAGTGATCGATGCTACCGAAGAACAAGATGAAGCCACAGAAGGGAAAAGTGATTCAGGTCCGAGACAGTCGAAGCACAAAGCTGCTCTGCAAAAGAAACTGCAATCTAAATTAGATAAGGTGAAAGAAACAAAAAGAATGCAGGAAACAGAGGCGGCCGCTTCAACTACAAATGTGTCTAAAAGGTTAAGGTCACTTCGAGGTCAGACAGTGGTGACCCGATTTGAGACTGAAGAGGAAATTGCAAGAGGAGAGCAACTAGAGAAGACTCTGACCTCAAGAAGGCGCTACAGGGAAGCGGTCACTGAAGCCAAGAAAAAGGTGGGCAGGTTTCTGTTTCTGAGTTTTAATTTTGTCTTATCAATAATATGCATATCTCTCACGGTCTTAAGTACTTAAAATAGGACATAGAGTTTGTTTGTGAGCAATGCTTCGTTTTTAAGAAGCATTAATTAGTTTCTCCGAAATTTTACGTCTGTTTGGGAGGTATTGTGAAGTTGAGCTTTGCGAAATAGTTACCAATAGCTCTTAATTGTGAAATACTTCTTTTTTCGTGTTTTAACTTTTCCGAAATGACATGCATCGTCCATCATTCAATCACCAATCAAACCTGAAGTTTTATTTGTAGTACATGATTCTGAGGGAAAATACGCATTCAAAGTTCCCCGTTGAAAGTATTCGCTTATCCTGATCTCGTGTTAACTGAATTCGAGCTTGTATCGTTATACTAGGACAATTTTTACAAGTCAATATGCCCTGTATTCGTTATACCAGCTTGTGTGCTTACCTAGCCTCCGTACATAGAACTGAATTATCCGTTTGTGATGTCCAGCGAAAGGTCAAGGGATTTTTTCCAGATTATGGCCGATAATTGTTTAATCCAAAATCAACTTCAAATCAGCAGTTTTGGCCTCTAACACTGCGATGTTTCAGTTCGAAATTCCAACAGAGCAGGAATGTTACGAATTCTTCACTAGAACATGGGAAGATCCGGTGGTAGACCAAGAGGAGGAGCAGGACGGGAAGGACCAGCAGACCACAGACACAGCAGGGGAAGGGGCTTCAGAAGGTAATTAGGAGTTCAAAAAAGATGAATTAAGCTTGGGATTAGAAAACTAATCGGAACATTTTTCCAGGCAAACAAAAACAGCAAAGACTTTTTTTCCAGGCAAACAACTTGTCGTACATTTTAAATACCTGTGCTATTTTTTTTAGTTTGTTTGTAAATTTACCAACTGCCATTTGATATAATTTCAATTTTCTTTTCTTTATTCGGCTTACAAATATCGACGTAGTTACCGCGTATTGAATCGGTTCTAAATCAACATCAGACCTTGTTTTTTAAAATTGAATAATTATTGTATGTAAGGGAGGGGAATCTCTGCTTCGCATCTTTTTTTTTAAATGTGGTATCGCCAATAATTTAATATCATCTACCTATCTTTTTAAAAAAAAAGAAATTATTCATCTTTTTTTTCTATTTTTATATAAAGGTGGAGTTAAGAAGACTAACACAGATGCCGCTCTGTTCGATGCGGAGGGATATGTAGTGAAGAGACCTCCAGAGTACATTCCCAACAGGAAGAGACTTGAGGATGAGGAGAATCAATATTTTGTGCCCACCATGCGCCCAGGTGAGAAACTGTTACTTATAAACTGCCTGTAGTAATTCAAATCAGTAGCGGATTTAGGGGGAATGGGAGGCAAATGCTCTCTCTTCAAAGATTCGTCGAATTTGGTAGTATTTTTCATCCAGTTGACCTTACATTAACTTCGACGCCAATGAAAACTCAAGTGAAGATAACAATTAAAAGTTAAAAAACCCCATCATTTCATTTTATCTGAACGCAAAAATACAATAATATTATGAAAGAACAACACCAACATTTTCGTTAAATTTGAGTTTCGAAAGTTGATTTTGATTTTCAGATTTCCCAGTGGAATACAAAAGTTATTAATCCAATTTTCTCAAATTGGGTTAATTTATCAAAACAATGTCGATCATAAATTTTTCGGGAAAAACTTCGAAAGTTCAGGTTTTTTCAGAAAACAAGTCCGGATTTTTTTGTTTCCCGTAAATTTGAACAGAAACATGCAGAAAATTGAAATAAAACAACGTCTTAATAGTGTTTTGGGAATTCTCAGAAAATCAATTTGGCCGACCTAAAACAAAGGTTAACAATTTTTTTTCGAAAATTTTAAAATCGCTCTTGAGCCGCAACTGTAAGAGATACTGATTTGATCATTTATTCCACATCTCTTAGTTATTTTTCCTGTAAATAGTTAGAATAACTTTCATTTCTTGTTCAAGTAAAGCCATTTCATCAGCGTTTTTATTATGTTAGAACGAACAGATACAATGCTTAAACTGTTGCGAAGATATTTCGTCCTGCGACAGATTTTGTCGTTTTTTGATATGCCGGCAGATTTGAGGTGTTAGAGAATTTTTTGAAGTAGGTCGGGTCGGAACCTGTCAATTAAATTTATGGGACGAAAAATGTCGAAGGACAAAATCAAAGCTAACCAGTAAAAGGGTTTGGCAGTTCCGTGTTAGCTTGAAAAAAGTTTGGAGTTATTAGAAATTAAAAGTCAGTTATATGGGGGTATCAAAACTGTGGATAAGTAAGAAAAGAGCATTTGTTTTTGTGTAGTGGGCTATGATGTTTAGGGTTCTTATGTTTTTCAATATCATGCTTATTGTGTGTGTGATAGAGGGTAGAGTGGGCTTCAACATGGAGGGAAGGGAGAGGAGGTTTCTGGAGGAGGAGGGGCTGTATGTGGGGGAGAAGCCTCTGGTGTCCATGAGGAATGTCAACCGAATGGAGCAGCGCATCCTTAGAGAGGAACAAGCAGTACGTGCACCGTTTTTTTGCTGCTGTTGTGTTTGTTGGTTTTGCTTTGACCACCGAATTCTACGCAAAATTATGGGCCACATAAAATTATTAATTCAAGTGATAGATTATATTTGAAGCGTTCCAGACGACTTGATGTGAACTGCAGAAAAATTCTGAACAAATTTCTCGTCGAGTCGAGAATTATTGTACCGACCACTCTCGAGGAGTGGAAAGGAACTATGGGTTAGGGTCCGGGGTTTTTTGGTTTTTTGCCAGCCACTTTTGATTACTTCAAAGAAAGTAGGTAGGGGATCAAGTTTGCTATTATATAAAAGCCCTATTGGCATGATTCGGATTCTGAAAAATGAACTCAGTGTAAAAAAAAATTGATTTGGGTTATTTCGATTTTCATACCAAATTAGACGTAATTATCTGAAAGTCTGGCCTCCCAACCTAAATTATACTAGAACGTTAACGCTATGTTAACGTTTTCTAACTACAGTTACCGCTCTTAGTATTAATTTTTGAATTTTTTCTCGTAGGTTTTTTGGTCTTTGTCTTGCTGGCTTAGCGCCAGTCAAAGTATAATTAATGTGTACTTAATGCTGTGATTGAGTGTGAGTTTAGCCTGACCGTTGGTTTGGGGAGAACGGACACCTGGTGATGTGCAGTGACCCACTGAAACTGTACCCCTCCAAGCCAATCATCTACGCACAGGAGGAACTGGAACCCCAACTGCAGACTCTCTATGTCAAGGTCAGTCAGTATAAGTTATCAGTATACAGGAATTTACAACGCAATTAATTTATTGGTCCTTTTTCCACATGATCGTGTAGTTGGGTTTTGTTATAAAGAGTCGATGAATGTAATTCGGCTTTTATATATGTCGCGATGATTTTTTTGTTCATACTCATATTTTTTTAGGTAGCAAGTCGGTTTTTTCGTTATTTATCTCAAAGATTTGGCGCATATCAGCTAGATAGCTCCTAAACCATTCGAGGCTAAATTCTCGGGTTCCATAAAGCTCCAATTCAGTCAGCAAAATGTTATGACCGAAAGTATCAAATGCATTTCTGAAGCCAACAAAGATACAGTTTTATTAAAAATGAATCTTTTGCAAATCACAGATGCGTGTCATTGGGAGATATATAAGTTTTAGTTAAATTGTCAGAGACCTTAACCAAAAGTTAATTATCAGCTTTTCACGAAGAACCGCTGTTGTAGAATTATCAACAATAAGAGATCGGAGAATTTTTTTCACACAAAGGATTTTTTTTTGGAGATAGTCATGTTGAAAGTTTGCCGTAAACCTCAAAATTTTTTCATCGTTGACGAATTGCTTCTTTTAATCATTTCTGTCTGTCAGAATTTTTCGCCACTCTGTTTTTCATTATTTCAGGCATCGACAGCAGAGAACGACTCTCGGTACATCGATGGAAGGGTCTCGGAGGCCTCGGTTGGCAAGTACCAATTAGCGATCGAGATCCCAGAGATGACTTTCTCGCACCATCCACTTTACAACAGGGAGAACGTACTGGCAGCAAGACTCACTGAGTTATATGATGAGTACTCGCTGAAAATGGATAAGAACTTGTCAGAACATTACAGTGACAAGGTAATTAACAACCTGATTTAATGCAAAAAAGAGGCAGCTTGCACATTACATATCTCAGTATGGCTATTGTCAAAACGTTTTTTCACTACTGATGTCCACCAAGCCATGGTTTTAAATATTTTGAAGGGATCTGCGGGTTTCTTCTGTTATGCGACCCAAAATTACCAAAACGTTGAATGAGCAAATTTGTTTGAAAGTAAGCTTCTGATTTCTTTTCGCATCAATTTCTTTCAGCCCATCAGGTTCAATCAGTATGATCAAATTTTCAAAACATTAAAGCAAAGAATTTCGGGCCGTATAAGAGAAAAGGCCCGGGTTCGGCTGTAAATTTATTATGAACCAGTATATTTAATAACAAGTTACTTTGACCTCTGTTATAAACATCAGTGTTGTTTTTTTTGTAGCTTGTGGCGCTGAGGGAGGCCATTGCGAAGGTGCAGAACTCGCTAGCCGTAACTCACGAAGACCACAATTTACGATCTGAGATACAAACGCAACAGCTGCAGACACGACTCAACGACTACATGCGCGAACTGAAGAAAACGAGGGATCTGAGAGACAAGGAGGATAAACACGTGAAGGAGAAGATGAAATTGATCACGAGGACGTGGAAACAGATCAAAGCTGTGAGACAAAAGAGTGGATACACGTCTACCAATTTGAAACTACTTCTGCAAAAGTAGGTTATCACAGGCTTCATGAAGAAAGGCATCTATTCTCATTTTCCAATTTTCCTGCCTCACCCTAAATTTACCAAATGATATCTGATATCTTTTTTTTTTAAATCAAATTAAGGTGGCAAAAGTGAATCACATCTAGAATCAAATCGGATCACTTGTTCACAAAACAAGTTTCGTCACAAAATATAGCACTAAAAATATTTCTAAATGGCCTTCACAAAAGGAAGACTGGAAAAGAGCCGTTGTGCCTCAGCCGTTTACTCATTATGCCCAAATCATCAGATCTCGAATTATACAAACTAAAGGGTGTTTCACGGTATTTCTCCTTTTCTTATTTGTCATCTGAACTGAAGAACTGAAATTCTGGCGGAACAAACTGAAATGCTCTTTAATTACAATGTGCTGCTTTTTGTTTGTGTAGAAAAGATACGGATCGTGAGTTGGATCTGCAGAGGTGGAAGCGAGACATAGAGGAGGAGATGGAGGAGGCGAGGATGTTGTTCCATACAGAGTACCAGGCAGCCATGGCCAAGTACAGAGTGGAACACGAACAGTGGACCAAACACGAAGCCAAAATGGTACAAGTTGTCACTTTGTTGCTCTAAATCAAAAGTGTTCTAAAAATAATTGAAACCATGTTACGAAAATTGGCAATTAGTTAGATCAGAAAATAAGAGCTGAAAGTCTTTGAAAAAATCCGACAAGTTAAATGCTAAAATAATATGACTCTTGCAAAAGCCATTTAAACAGACAACAGTTGGTGTAGTCAGTAACACAAATTGATTACGAGTGATCCCAGTAAATGCGGAGATGTTTTAGCGGTTACATATTATTGTAGTCAAAAGCCAATTCATTATCCTAAATACAGTATCCTGAATTTTTTTTATCGGTTTCAGAAAAAGATCAGAATGCGGAAAAAGGCGCGCAAAAGTAACAAAATTGAAGACGAAGAAGCAATGCTCGGAGACCCTAGTCCAAGCACTGCAGATGACGCTGAAGATTCTCCCACAACTCCAGAACCCGCTGCACCGGCATCATTTGATGAGGACCAGGTGATTCTTATTGTAGATATTGCATTTGGATCTAGCCAACTTCTTCAGTGTTCCAAAAGATATTTTGATACTTAGAAAGTTAGCAGTTAAGTTCACGCGAAAATTGAATATTGAATATGTTACTTGATTTAAAAACCTCAATTCAAGTAACATAAGAAGTGATTAGTTTCCATAAAATGATTCTCGGAATTTTTGATTTGCTTATCGTTTTTTGGACATTTCTTGATAACTATCCTGCAAATCTGATAACATAGGTTTAAGTTTGCTACGCTCAGTCAAAGTTTTGAAACTAGGACCGTTTTTCGGAAACTTTTTGACGAGAAACACGGTTTTAAATCAAGAAACACTGTTAAATTAAGAAATACAGTTTTGAGAGTCTTCGCTACTTCAGTGGCCACGACCTAGTTCTTGCATGATTTTCGGAAAATTTTTGATCTTTTGACCGTTCCAAGCAACTGTTTGAATTTTCTTAAAAACTACCCAACAAATCTGAGATGAAAACTTCAATTGAAAGAACCGGTTGCGAAATTTTCTCCTGAAAAAGCAGCGAATCCTTAATTTTTTGTATGAGAAATGTTTTTTCCTTGGGAAAATTCGAAAATTCCAATCTTCTGCTTTATTTTAGCAGAGAAACAATTAAGGCAAAGTCCAATTATTGAAATAACGTATTTCGTCTCGCATCAGTATTTAGTATAACAAATTCAAAATAATCGAGCAAGGACTTCCAGTTCTCTGTTATCGAGCCCCTAGTTCTCTGTTATCGAGACGAAAATTTTGATTCGCCTTTTTCAACGTTTTTCATTATTTTCCGACTTCTATTTTTAAAATCTTTGTTGTATCGCCTCTGTTGTATCTTTATATTCAATCGCCTTCGCTTCGTCTCTGTGTCATAAGTTGTATATTAGAAGCCAAATTGAAATTGCTTATATTTTGAATGTATGTTACGAATCGACATTTTTGATCCCTTTGGTGGCATTTTTGCTCAGCTTGGTGGCATTTTTGCTGCATAGTTTGCCAATTTACTAGCATGTGGCTAGTGTGCAGTTTAAAAGTGCATTTGGCGGAGATGTGAGTGACTCTTTATCTCCAGGTCGGCGGTTTGGTTCTGGCGAAAGGAAAGTTTTTCTTCCAAGATTTTTTTGCCTTTTTATTGCTTTTGTTCGCCAAGTGCAGATTCGCTTTTGTTTTTGTCACTATTTTCATTTGTTAACAATTGCGAGTATAGTGTTATAGTACGAATATTCTTTGTATACACATTAAGTAGCAAGTATTGGTGCCTTTTTTGGGTCAACTTTGCGGTGTTTGGTAGCATGGGCATTGGATAAATAATAATTGGACATTCGATAAATAATAAGTTAACCGAGGTGATGTCTTTCTAAATTAAATGAACCGAAAAAAGCTATTTGTTTCAAACAACAGTGCAATAATAGAAATTTCTTTGAGAAAGTTTCCTTCTCAATATATCAGGCATTTTTTTTGAAATGCATAATTTATTCATAATCTGGCTTCATTATTTCCTGTTTATTTCATTCAAAGTTATTGTGGACGCCTTTGGTTCAGTATATTCCAAATTATTGCATGCAAAATTTCCTGGTCGAAGGATCGAAACCGCCATAGCAGATTATTTCATTTCCAAGGCTTATTTTACCTTTTTTATATTTCACCTTACAGAGTTGCTTTTTTGTCATTTTCTCGCTAGTGTTTGTGAAGCGCAGCTTCGCCTCTGTGTAACAAGTTTGTTGAGCGGTATTTCAGTTCACTAAAACTGTAAATTAAGAGTGAACATGTCAAGAAAATAATCGATTGCTTTTCAGGAGCGCCAAGAGATAACTGACAAGTACCTGAAGATCAGAAGGAAACCGGGAGAGCCCATTATCACTCCCCTAATGACTAAGGCAGCAACAATCACGCCACTCACGCAATGCCCTCCCGAGGAAAAAAGTAGAAGAAACGCCATACGAAGCGCCAGGTATATATCACTGTATATTTTTTTCATATTTTTTTACAAGAAAAATATTATATTAGGAAAGCAGCCTGAAAAACGACCATACTCCTTCAAACCACTCGAGCCGCAAACTAATTTTATAAACTTGAAAATTTAGCAAAAATGAGAAAAAAAAAACATTTCAATTTAACCAAAAATTTCAGTTCCTTAAATTTTCGGACTTTCTTTAATCTACAACTTCTATCGATAAGAAAATGCTCATTTTTGCTTGCGTCTAAATACGTTTCGGTGAATTTTGCATCAACTTTACTGCCTGTTATAGGTTGTGTTTTCAAATTTCCATCGGAAATGAAGAAAGCCAGCTCTGTAGAGTTTTTCTTTCATAGTTTCTTTTAGTTGAATAGTTTTCTGAAGTTTTTATCAGCCTGCTTGCCTATTTTTGCTCCGACCATTTCACGAAGAAGGAAGAAAATTTCACGTAGCTTGTGTTCTTTTACTCTCAGTTTTGCCTACCTCAAAGAAAATTTGTTGGGGATCAAGTATGGTTTACAATTGCACTTATGCATACAGTGCTGACTTAGATTATCCGGTAAAAACGCATGGAACTTGAAATTTATAACGCGTTTTTCTCTAATTGGTTTGACTTTAAACAAAAAATAACAAAGCTTGCGTAGAATTTTAGCAGAAATAATTCGGGTCCAAACTTTTACCCAAGAATTGGATAATTTTTGTCTTTTTTGTCAACCAAAAATTACGCCAAAACTACTTGAATGATCTGTGACACAATTATATTAACGTAAGCCTCTTACGTAGCTCGACCAATTTTAAGCAGGGCATAACGTTCGGTATAAAAAATAATTTATTTAAGTTTGATAGACATAAAAGTCCTTTTACTATATAAAACACCAGTGTTTTTATATATAAAAACACTTGTAAACGTTTCGCGTAATTTTTTGGCGAGTAATACTACTCTCAATAAAGGTGGTCGAGCTACGTAAGAGGCTCCTTTTGATTTGATTATAGTAGTTTGGTGTAAATTTTGATTGATCAAAAAAAAGCAAAAATGATCCATTTTTGGGTTAGTATTCTGATTAGTAAACAAGTTGCACAATATTAATTCTGCTGAAATTCTAAGCAAGCTATGTCATCGGCTTTTTTTTCTATTGTTTAATTTAAATCAGGACTGTATATGCACTCGTTGAGTTGAATTCAAATTCGTTTTAATGCGAAGTAATAAAAGGAAATTTTCTGTTTAGGTCGTGGCAATTTTTTGTCTTTTTTTAAGGAAAAGCCGTGAAATTTTCTCGCGCTCAATTTAGTTTTTCGCGGTTTGATTTTGATTTTTTAGCTCAATTTTTTATGCTTGAGGAAGGGTTTCGATTTTCAGATTTAATTCTGGTTTTCTCTTTTTAGATTCTCCAATGAAAATGAACTTTTACCATTCATTCATGTGTCTCAAAATGAAGCATTTCTTTAAAAATTGCCTATCTTAATTTGTTCTTGAATTTCAAAAACATCAAGGCCATGTGTGTTTTGATTTTTGAGAGCTGAAGTTTTTCTTTAAATTAATGCAAGGAAGTTGGATTAATGCTATGAGTTGGATCAGACAATAAGAGTTGAAAGTCGTGAAAAATCCGACGTGAAGAAATGCTAAAATGATATGACTACAAAAGCCATTTGGTTTAGACAGCAACACTTTAGACAGTAAGAGTTGTTTTTCAGATCCAGTGTCAAGAAAAAATAGCCGAATTATACAAATTTTAAAAAGGAAACGAGACGATCAATTTAATTTATTGTTTTTAGAAGAGTCGATGAACGGTAGGAAAACTTCTTTTTAGGCCGTGGCAATTTTTCTTATAAGAAAAGCGGTGAAATTTTTTCATACTCATTTGATTTTTCGCAATTTGATTTTGATTTTTTAGTTCTTTTTTTTATGTTAGAGGAAGGCAAAATCTTAAGGATTTCGATTTTCAGATTTAATTGTGGATTTCACTTTTTAGATTTCCAACATAATGGAAAGTTTTCTCATTCATTCAACTCTTTCAAAAATTGCCTAGCATAATTTGTTCTTGAATTTCAAAAAGCTTCAAGTCAATATGTTTTTTGAAGTTTGAGAGCTGAAGTGTTTCTTTCAATTAACGCAAGGGTTAACGCATTTAGATGAACCAGTTAATAAGAGTTGAATGTCTTGAAAAGTCAGACATGAAAAAATGCTAAAATGATATGACTACAAAAGCCATTTGGTGTAGACAGTAACACAAATGCGGAGATGTTTTAGCGTTTGCATAGTATTGTAGTCAAGACCGTTTCTGTATCCTAAACTGTTTTTGCAATGGTTTATGCCAATTTGAGAGTAGATGGGAAGGAACTATTTCGCAATTTTTCTTTCCCGATTTTCAGTTCCTAAAAGCAAGTTCCTAGATGGTCGAGCACCTTTTTTCGAAACCATCTAATAAGTAATTTTGATCCAGTGTCAAGAAAAAATGAGGCGAGTTATACAAATTTTACAAATGAAACGAGACGATCAATCTAATTACTGTAAGGAAATTTTCAGTTTAGGTCGTGGCAATTTTTTCTTTTTTTTTAGGAAAATCTGTGAAAATTGCTGACGCTCGATTTATTTTTTCGTGGTTTGACTTTTTTAAAGTCGCTTTTTAACGTTAGAGGAAGGTGAACTCTTAAGGGTTTTGATTTTCAGATTTTAATGTGGGTTTCAGTTTTTAGATTCGTATTCACTCAACTCTCAAAATGAATTATTTCGATGAAAGTTGTCTATCATAATTTTTTATCGAATTTCAGAAAGCTTCATGGCCGTCCCAAATATATTTTTGAATTTCGACAGCTGGAGTTTTTTAAAATTGACGCAAAGCAACAGAAAAAATGGCCTAATTTTTGAAAAAACGTGAATTATCGAGTTTCAAAGTAAAAAATATATGGCCGTACAGTTTTTTGATTTTCAAGAACAGTTTATGATTTATTTTTTTGATAAAATTAATTCTTTTTGCGAAAGCTGGATCAATGGGTAATTTTTTTGCGCTAGTTAATCTTAAAATGAAAATCTTTTTTCGAAACTACAAGTCGATCACGTATTTTGCGGCATTAACACCTTCCAAATTCAACAAAAAATGGCCTGAAAGCTCGAAATTTCAAAAACAATTGCGGCGGACATTTGGAAAATAATCATTGAACGGGTGGAAACAGAAAAAAGACTTACTTTTTGAAAAAAAAAATTGTCGATTTTCAAGGAAAAGAATATAAAGTCCTAAAGCTTCTTAATTTTCATGAAAAAATTGCTGACAAACGTTTTCAGTTATGTGGATCAATAGATAAGCTCTCAGTTCCGATGGGAAAACTAAAACTTGAAATATTTTCCTAAAAAAGGAAAAGAACTGAACTTGGAAAGAAATTAGTCGAACCGCGAAAGATCAAGTTTGAGCTTGAACAAGTTTTGAGGCTTTTCGTTAAAAACAAAAAAATTGTCACGAATTATATAATGAGATAGCTAGAAAATTCTTAACATAGCTATCGCATTCGTGAATTCAGTGAAGTAATTCAATTTCTTCTTCCGAAAAACGATTGGAAATAAGGATAAGAAGGTTTTCAAAAAATTGAAATATTTTTAAGAGTTGGTGAACATATTTCAGACTCTTATATAGGTCGCGATGGTTTTTTTCAGAAGTCTTAAAATTTGTTCAAGCTCAATTTTAATTTTAAGCATTTTGACATTTGATTTCTTTTCAAGTTTAGTTTTTTTCGTTTGTTAAAAGGAAGGCAATTTCCACCATCGAACAGCAAAAGTGGGAAGTTCTGGAAAAATGTGGTCGACTTCTAGTTTCGAAAAGGGAATTGAATTATCAGATTTCCCAGCGAAATAAGTATTTCACTTATTGATCCAGTTTTCTCAAATTGGGTTAATTTTCATCAAAAAAATGCAAATCAGTAACTGTTCTAGAAATTCAAAGAGCTTTAAGGGTATATTTTTCTTTGAAGTTCGAAATTTGAGTTTTTTTAAAAAAACAAGTCAGTATTTTTCTTTCACATGCGTTCGTTGACTTTTCTCCGTCTTTTTGTTGGCTGTTTTTCTTGGGATTTCTCTTTTTCATTTATTGTGGTCAGAGTTTGTTCTGCTGGTGCAAAGCAGTCGGTTATGATTGTTTGTTTTTGAAAGAAGTTCGCCGATTGCAGGTATTCAGTGCGGGTGTTGTACAATGGGAAGGAGGTGTCCCACAGTGTGGCTAAAGCGATGAGTGATAACTTCTCAGTCCAGTTCAGCCAGAGTATCAATGTCGTCATAGTTCAGTGGCCGGAGTCTGTTATCATACAGGTGAGTGGCCAGATAAACCTTAGTGAGGCTCTTTTTATTTTCTTCCCACCTCACATGAGCATCAGTTTTAAGGTGTAACGAGCTGTTTCACAAGGTTGACTATGAAGACCAAATTTGTTTGTCTTGGCCCAATAGCGTGCCAATGTTTTTTTATGAATCGGACAACGCGAGCAAAAATTAAACTAGTGAGGGAATGAAAAAGAACCCGTTGTCGCGATTTGATAGTAGTGATGTTGCGCAGCAATTATATGATTGCGTTTTCAAACTGCACATGCGCTGACATTTGCGATGTGAGCTCTTGTAAGATAGCGATATTTGTTAAGCTAGCCTTAAAAAATTAACCCTCGTGTCAGGCCTCAGACTGGTCAACTGTAGTGCATTCAATGAAATCAACTACTTGAAATTGTTAGTACTCTTGGTCCCTTGCTGAGATTATCTCCATGGTAACACTACTACGCTTACGTCTTACGACATCAGAACAATACAAGCCGTAGCAACAAAATTGGCATGGTTTTCCAAGTGAAAGCAGCTGTACCCACGCATAGCGTAATGAACCTAAAACTATCCACTTTTTTAAATATGACTTAGACTTGATATTTTTCTAAAATGTCTTTTTGGATACATTTTGTGACACATTCTGAAATATTAATTGGTTGAAAAAGGTTTGAAAAAATTGGTTCATGTAACTGGTTAAAAGCAACTTAGCATAGTGGCAAGGCGTTCACTTTAAGATCGTCAGATCGTGTATTTGATCCCTTGCCACGACAATGATAGCGTGATCTCGCTAGACTTCTATCTTCATGTCTACCACAACAATTTTGGCTGCCATAAGAGTACCGAGTGAAACTTACAGACGCAAAAAACTGCGTCCAGTCGGAAAAAAGGAGCTTCGCTCAGCAAAATAACTCAGTCTGGAATGTGGGGAAATAATAGGAACGGACTATGACTAGACAGGCTGGGTAGTCTTTCTTAGATCCTCTGCAAACTTACAGACGCAAAAAACTGCGTCCAGTCGGAAAAAAGGAGCTTCGCTCAGCAAAATAACTCAGTCTGGAATGTGGGGAAATAATAGGAACGGACTATGACTAGACAGGCTGGGTAGTCTTTCTTAGATCCTCTGCAAACTTACAGACGCAAAAAACTGCGTCCAGTCGGAAAAAAGGAGCTTCGCTCAGCAAAATAACTCAGTCTGGAATGTGGGGAAATAATAGGAACGGACTATGACTAGACAGGCTGGGTAGTCTTTCTTAGATCCTCTGCGAATCACAGAAACCTCATTTATTTAACCAAGATAAATAAAGGGTTATATTTGACACCGGGGGCTTCAATTTGCCCTTTGACTGCTTTGCACGTCTATTCATTTACATGCCAAGCAATACTGGTGTTTAGGTAGTTGAAAGTGGATTATCTAAGTCAGTAGTTGCGGAAGTTGACCTGGTGGTGCCTGATGGAGCTGTGAACACAGCAAACGTGTCACTTGACTCTAAACACTTCATCTCACAGCAGGTCGTCTCAACAAACAACTCTGGGGTGGGAAGCGGTGAGTGAAGTTTCCCTGTTTTCCTCTATATTCTTATTAATATAGATCAGTGTGATCTTTAATTTTTCAGCAATTTTGTCAAGTTATAGCTCTCTCTTGCGTGAACCGGTGTCAAAAAGATCTCAAGTATCTTTTCTAGCTAGTAATGGTTTTCCTCGTAAAAGTATTCTCTATGCCTTCAAAACTTGGAGTGCAGAAGTTGGAACTATTTCTTGCTTCACTGATCCGCGACAACGGCATGTGTGACAATTTGATGTGAACTACATTTTCAGTTATTGAGCTCCCGTATGTCATTTTCAAAATGTAACAATAAATTAAACATATTATGTATAAAAAAATTCAATGGCGCATTATGCTTTTTGGAACTGAAATACCAGTCATTACACCATGAAAACCTTCTGGTTTGTATGCCCTGAATGATCTTCAACTATCGCACTTATAATCGGGCGGATTTTACATGCGAGGTCAATAGTGATTTTTTCAAATGAAGTGCTTTTCAATAATTTATTTGGACGAACTGTTTTTGTTTTCACTATGAAAAATGTAGTCTGAACTCTTTTTTTTTCAACGAAGTTGAGTGTTGCACAATTGGAAAATTATTTCAGCCTTGCTACATAAGTTTGCGACCTTATTTGATTCGGAAGGAGTTGAGAATTGAGTTTATTCCAGCGAACTGGTTCGTTCTCCACAAAATCTTGTGAACTGGTTATTTTTCATCTTCAGTTAATTAATTCAATTGATTCTAAAATTGATGATACTTTATTTTACGAGTCTTACGCGTTACTCGCCGGTTTTTCATCGCTCTGCTGAATTTTTTTATCTTCGAAGAATAATCTTTGGAAACTGATTCATTCGGATCAGCTTTTTGATCAATTGTCTTGGCTATCCACAGTAAAACCTAAGTATCATGTTAAATTTTTTACCATTGAACGCGTGAACTACAGTTTCTGAATTTCAATTGAACAAGAAAGCAATGTCATCTCTGCACGAAGACGAAAGGCACGCTCGAAAATTCCATGAGACGTCAATTCTGGGAGGCGATTTATTGTGCATAGCTTGAAGTTGTCGAGCTTAGAAAATTTGTTTGACAGTAAATTTGGGAAAAAAGGAACAAAATCGATAGACTCGTGCGTTTTTTATAATATTACTCAAAATACTATTTTATTTTTTTTGAAAACGTAGAATTGTGAGGTCTAGGTTTATTTAAGTGAATTGCAGACGTAAGACCGTAGTGGGAAGACAGTGTCCTTCACCCGACTGAAAGCTTGCGACGATAAATTAAGTAAATCGCTTGCGACCCGGCTGGACCACACGTACGCTCCACGATCTAAATCCACTTAGCCTCTTGCTCGAGGCAATGATCGTAGATATGGACACGCAGCGTTTCGGCCAAAACGTGGAGATCGGACTCGAGGATTGCGCGCTCGACGATACTCTGACGGGGATCGAACAGAGGGTAGAAAGGTGACTGGTAGCGGGCAAGCTGCTTCTGTCGCTATTCCGCGAGCAGCTCTTGGAGTCTTGTGGACCTATCGTTAGTCCCGGCGAGAAGGCAGAGAATGCAGTCCAGCAAGCAAGCAATTGGAACTGGAACGAGGGCACTCTAATATCACGGCTCCTATAGGAAGGGGTAGATTTTGACGCAGTTTTTGTGAAAACGGGTTCTTTCCTGACTTCAGCCCCAGTATTTGACAAATCTAGACACGTATTTCCGGCAATTGGTGTAAATTTGGACTATCGTTAACTACCGTCCTGCGGCTTTCTAGACAGCCTTCGCTGTTAATGCAGAGAGCCCGTCAATGTTGACGCAGCTTTTCTACGTAATAATTGGAACGAATTTCTTGTTCCTTTCGGTAAAAGCCTCTTCGACGGCTTAAAGTTATGCCTTTCACCTTGCCGTCCCGGTAAAATATTTCTCGCCCTTATGCAAATTTCGAAGCTTTCCGACGCAAAGCGTCCCGGTGGGCCTCAATCATGTTAGGTGGAAGGACTTCTCAACCTCGCGGGCTACCATTGGCTATGCGAAAATTGCGTTGTAGGCGTGATAGTCCATATTAGTGAATGTGACTAAAGGGTACGTGTTTGTTAAATTAATGCTGGGCTTGTACTATTAAGGTTTAGTCAGCAAAATAAGTTAAAAGGTAAACAGACGGTCTAGTCAAGTGATTTGTTTCTTTAAAGAATTAGTCCACACGTGGCAAATGGGAACCAAGTGGAAGCTCCAAATCGGAACCAACGAAGCCAACTATTTAAATCTTTGAACGGATTGTAGAGATGACTTGGCCCAGGCATGCAAAAATCCGGACCCCACTGGCCTAAGTGATTACGGTTCCCGGAGGTGCAAATCGTTCCAATATTGCTCAGCAATTCGCGGTTTGAGTGGAACCAAAATTGGGTATGTTTGAGACCTAGTTGAGGGAGGCATTAGTTTGGAACCCGTGAACTCCAACTTCCGGTGTGCTGCTCCAATTAAATAGCCCTCACCTGATTTACGGAAGTCGGTTCTCGGATCTGAATGATCGCAGTGAGCTAAAACTTCGGGACAAGATCTTGTATGTTAATTTTAACAGAAGGCGGCGGTGGCCGCAGCTCTTAGCTCTGAAGAAAACTTCTTCATAAGACCGTAAATAATTCGTTTTTTACGCAAAATTTTTCGTTAATGCCCAAGGTCGCATTGAAAACCCCAGTGTTTACACTGGGGTTTAGCCTACTCCCATAGCTGACCCTTGGAAATGAGAATCGATCACCATACTTCTTATTGGGAGGAAACGCATTCCTCGGAGAAGAGATCAAAAGGTAAAAAGCACATAGTTTTCAGTTACCATGTTGAAAGTAGTGGATTAAATAAGGTGAAACTAGGCAAATTTTGGATTGAGTTTAGCTATGACACTTGAACTTTTTATAGCGACTTAGTTTGACCAAAAAAAAGAAGTCTCAGAGGAAACTGGCAGTAATGGGAGTACGCTTCGGTAATTAAGTCTCTTAATTGATATGAATAGACGGAATATTAGCTTACTTCCCTGGGGATGGTTTGTTGGCTCATTAGGGGCCCTATCTAACGAACTGCGTTCACCTGATAGCTAGAAGGTCGGAATTGAAATAGTGTTTATGGAAATTTTAGAGGCTTAGAACGAAGTAGCTACTTTTAGTAGGGACCTCTCCCCCCCCCCCCCCCCCAGCACCGGGAGGCCGGAATGCTGACGGTTTAATAATAAAAAAAGTCATTGGAAAATGGTTAATTGGGCATAATCTTGCTTTGAGGTGAAATCGGACTTGATAGTTGCTCAACTAAGCTACACTAGTTATGTTGAACTCAGCATTTGGAACCAGTAACATCAGTGGAATCATTCAGTTACGATCTTGTAGAAGGTTACCAAAGTTAATGCCGGGACTAGTTGGGACGAATTGAACGGAACTATTATTGAAACTGGAACTCAAATAAAAAGTTTAACAAAAAATATTGGGGATAATAATGTGCCCTGGCATGCACCGTAATAGTACGGTATAAAGAGGATATTATCTGCGGTGACTGTTGGTTGCGATAAGTCAAATAAAGAAAACCCAGAAAGAAATCTAGCGAAAATAAAAAGTAAGAGGGGCAGCCTGGGAGCATTCGTGACATTGCTCACTCATACGGGCACTCTGCTTAATATTATTGAAAGAATTGATTTTCTTTTCATTTGGTTTATGGTTTTTTTAATGGACGTGAAAGAAATTTTCATTAATCGTTGTTCACACTCGTATATTTTGTGCGTCGTGAAAGAAAAATTGATGGAGTTTTAGGTTATCGCTTCAAAATTTCCCCCTTCCCAGTTGTCATTAGTCGAGTGGATGATGTGCAATTTGCGATCAAGTTTTCAATAAAAGTGCAAATAGCTCGAAGAATGCGAATGGCTCTAAGAGAATGGATTTCAATTTTTGCGGTCAATTTTTGCGGTTTTGATCCAGTTTTCTCAAATTGGGGTAGTTTTATTTAATAATTATCTCTTAGAAGAAGGTTCATGTTGTTTATAACGCTCCAAGCTGATGCTTTTTCGTAGAAACTCATCTACAGAAATTAAAATTTTTAAAATAGGTAAGAGGGCATTAAAGATCTTGAACAATATTCAGAAAAATCAATATTTTTTCCCATTTCCTGTAGTTCATTAGAACTTTTCCAACTCTCTATTGACTCTGATTCCAAGTGATCGCTATTGCCGCTTGGATCGAGTTGTCGCCTTGCCGTAGTATTGCGCGAGTGGTCTGGACTCTGTTAACAACAACTCCAACATATCAGCTACAACAACTGATTTAAAGATGGTGGTGGATCTTGCCATTTGCCTAGCGGCGATCGGCTTCTCCTCGGCCAGTTTGGCCTCTCTCGTCCTGGACCAGTGGTATCTGAGAAGGAACGAGGAGAGACTGGAAGGCAGATTGGACGAGAGATTACTCGTGGTCGGAGGAGACGAGGACGACAGGCATGACATATGACATTACATGCAGATATATTTCGGGTCTTTCATTCAACCCCCCTCCCCACAATAAACTTAGCATTGATATATAACTTAGTCTACCCAGTAAAACGCCTCCCTGAGTTTTATAGGGGGGTTTAATGGCAAAGAAACGAATTTATTTATATTGCTTTTCCACAGAAAAAAAATAGCCAATCAGATGTTTTTTTTTGTTATGGAGAACTATAGAAAAAATTTCAAATTTTGGCCGAAACTGAATTCATTCGAGTGAAAAATTAATGCCAGGAAAATTATCAAATGAATTTTAATCCAATTTTTCTGCAACCAATTCTAGCGTATAAATGATTGAACGAGATAACGATAGTTGACATATCGATATTAAAAGATTACATAGGCACGATTCAAGTAGCACAAGCAAATACTTGATCAAACAGAGCTTCAAAGTAGCTTTTCAGGACTAAAATGGTTTGAACAATAGTTTGCGTTAGTTGTCTTTTGTATATCTGTGTGTGATGTCGTGTTAGTCTCTCCACGTGGATCATGATCAAATGGGATGCACTCACCACTCATTCGGCATTCGTTACAGACCACAACTTCACATCCACTGCTATTTCATCCAGCTCCTCGTCCTCCAATTTGGAAGACGATGTTTTTGTAATTGAATCAACCCCCTATATACGCCACCCAATAACCCAGTTGAATATTGTGCAATCAGTTGAAGGGGAAAATGAAGATGATTTTTCAGGTGATGAGCAGTCTCGTTAAGTTTTGTAACATTTTGTTCCAATTAAACTGAGTTGTCTCTAAATGTTAGAGCTATCATTTTCTTCTGAAAAAAAAAACAATGTTTGTTTGAAATTTACTAATATAATTTTAGCGAATTAAGTCTGTGTCTCCGCCCTCCAAGTTTCTAACAGTGTGACTCTCCGAACAAATTCATTTTCTAAATAAGTAATTGCCACTAAAGTTTTTTTGTTTGCTCATCACTTCAATGCATGCGAAGTTACAATTGGAGATTTGTCTGACGAAGACTTTGAAGAGGAAGAATTGGACGATAGTGACAGTACGAATACTGAAATAAAAAATGGAAAATCACAAACAGAACCAAAATCCGAATCGCCCATTTCTCTCTAATTGACTTTTTGATGTTCTTTATTTGAAAATGTTGATAAATCATAAATAGTTCATGTGTTTAGTTTACACTTTAATTCAGTAGAATAAAGCGTGTCTGCAAGTTCCGTGAAATAGGATAATGTAAAGTTATGTATAATACAAATTAATTTTTTTTCTCGTGTAAACATCCAGGCATTTCTAGGCCGTGTGCTTTCTAAGAGTTACTGAATGTAGTGAAGACACTTTTTTAGGTTGTGTTGTTTTTTTTGTAATTTTTTTGATGTTAGAATTTGATCACTCCAAATTACGCAAGTTAAATAGCACAAAAAATGTGAGCGACTTCGAGTTTCGAAAACGAGAATTGGTTTTTAAGAGTCAATGAACGTAGTCGATTTTTTCAGGAAAAGTCCTAAATTTTGTCCAGGCTCATATTTACCTTTTTGCGGTTTGACTTTTGATTTCTCTTGAAATTCAGATCATTTCCTTTGCTAAAAGGAAGGCAAACTCCACTATCGAAAAGTGAAAGTGCAAAGGTCACAAAAAGGGATCGGCTTATAGTTTCGAAAGTGGAATTCAGTGTTCAGATTTTCCAGCGAACTAAATTTTATACTGATCCAGTTTTCTCAAATTGGGTTAATTTTTAAAAAGTAACATTCATAAATTGTTTTAGAAATTCAAAGAGCTTCAAGGGCATCTAATTGTTTCTTTAAAGTTCGAAAAAACAAGTCAGTATTTTTCTGTGGTCTTGCCTTCATTGACTCTTTTCCAACTGTCTGTTGGCTATGTTTCAAGTTTTCAGCTGAAACAGTTTAACAATTGATCCAGTTTTCAAATCGGGTCAAAAAAAGCTACAATTCAGACCAAAGAGCTTCCTTCTGACTATATTTTTTTCTGAAACTTCTTTTTTTTTGGTTTTCGGCTTAAGCAAAAGGGAGATAGTTTTTTTCACCAGATGAGCAAGTGAAGGAAAAAGTCATGAAAGTTGCTTATGCGGTTTGAAATTTGTTTTTTTTTTTACCATGATTTAAATTCGGTTTGACTCTGATTTCAATTCAAATTCATTTGCAAAAAGGTGTACAAACTACGCTACATGTAATGGAAATGCAAATGGGGTAAAAACATGATTGATTTAAATTTGTAGTCAGTTTTCAAGGTAAAAGCTTTCCCAGTGGAATGGAAAAATTTCTTGATGGATCCAGTTTTCTCAGATTGGAATAGTTTTATCAAAATTAGTGTCAATGATTAGAGATTCTTTTTTTCTAAGTTTTCAGGTGATAATATGTTCCTATAATTTACGAATTTGGTGTTTTTTTTTAAAAAAAAATCAGTTGTTTCTGAGCTTTCTCGATCATTTTTTGTTTTGTCAAATTGGGTTAGTTTTACTGCAATGAATTGGCAATTTAATATCATGTATTCGATAAACTTTACTGGTGGCTTGTGTTGACCTATTTATAGTGCACATTGCTAGATTGAAGGACGGTAGACTTGTCATCTCCAGGTTGCAGTCTGATGTCGGTACTGGTGTTATTTTGTTGTTTTTAAAAGCTTGTTTTTGACTTTGCTTTCTGTATTGCCTTCTCTTTCGTTTGCTTTTTTGGAGCTAGTATTCGCGAAGTGAATTTTTTCAATGGTATGTCATTTCTGTAGTATGGGGAGTTGAAAAATAAACAAACCCTTTTTTATCATCAATACGCAATAAAGACTTTTTTTCCGAGTTAACAATTTGTTTAATAGAATCATGTGGTATCTTGGCTCATAATGAATTCAAATTTCTAAGCGTCCCCGAACACTTGACTTCCTGCGTTCCCTGGGACGGCGAAGCTCATGGGCGCGAATCTGACCAGGACCTGTTTTTTTTTCAAATGTGAAATATTTTGTTTCTAAAAAATAGTCGGTTTAATATTTCTCTGCTTTTTTGTCGGCTTAGTTGAGTTTTTTTATATGCAGCTTTCATTGTAGTTGCTTTTTTTGTTTTCATTTATTACTGCAGTTTGTAATTCTAATTATCGTCGTATGTTTCCTCTTTAATTCGTATGTTTCCTTTTTATTTTATTTTTCGCTTAAATGTTTTTTCGGCCTAAATGGTTGCGGCTTTTGTTTTATCGGCTTACTAACCTAATTTTGGGTCGTTCGAGGAAACCAGAATTATTATGCTTTACTCTGGATCGGATCGCACAAGACGTTAGAATTTATACTTCAAAGTTTTTCATGACAACTATTTTTTTTGCTCGATAATTGTTTTTGAATTTTGATTAAACGCGGTCGAATGTGTTTCTGGGGGTGTTTTCCGCAACTAGAACATCATTCCAGATCATTTTTGAAGTTTTTGTTGTGTTTTTTTTAAAGAGTTTCCCTTTTCTTTCAATTAAGTGGCTCTCCTTCCATTTCTTGTCTGCTAGCTTGTAATTCAATTTTTGTAAAGCCGGTTACTGTGCAAGCAGCACCAGGTTCCGACCAAAATCTTAAAAAATACAAAAAAACGGTCTTCAAGTGTTTTTTTTTTCAGCGTGATTAAATGAAAAGGGCTTAACTAAAACTAAAATATAGGCATATTCGACAGTAATTGTAAAAAAGGAGCAAATTCGACATTTGTTTTTGCAGAAAAATGACAAATTTAAAAAAAAAATTCAATTTTTGTTGCAGAAATTTTTTGAATTTTTGATTCCCAAGAGCTAAAAACTTCCAAAAACAATTTTCACTCAAGTAAACTTACGTTTTCTCGGCTTAGATTAGGAAACCAACTATTGTGAGCCTGCTCGTTTGATTTATTTGCTCGAAATTAGACTAAATCTCAAAAATTTCAAACCGTTTTTTTTTCGAGACGGACATTTTTTTTTGCAAACTTTTTAATGTCCGAATCAAAACTGAAAGGGCTTTAAAATGATATATCACTCGACCCATTCCGATCATTAGTTTTTGTACCTGAGTTAGTGTGAAAAAACACACCCGATCACAAAGTTCGTCTTCATTTTCAATGGTCGGAAAATAACTATTTAGTAGTTCTCAAGTGAATGAAGTGGATTTCACTCAGTATGCTTGTCTCCTTTTTTGTTTTTACCTGGAGTCTTAGAATTTGTTCTCGCTGATTTCAATTTTTGGTAATATGACCTTTGTTTTGTTTTTCAGTTCACTTTTAAGTTAGTTTGGGAAATGGAAGAAAGCTTATTAAAAAACTGAAGATGGCGCGAAATCAGCCTTTAATTTCTCGCTTCAAAAAGGGTTTTTTAAAAAGATTTCTCTGCTTTAAAAAAAATATTCCTGATTTGGTTTGTTAATATTCGATTAATGTAGGTCGTATGTTTTGCAGTGGTGTTAAGTCTTGTTTCCGCTCAATTTTTTGTACTCACATACACTTCCTGTTCAGATTAAAAACAGCTGAGAAAACGGTGCAACAGACGGTTGATTTAGTTAGAGTTCATTAGAATGAAAAAGTTGGGTCCAGGTCATTTAAAAATTAAAAGTTTATCATCATTAAAGTTTATCATTTATTAAAGGTTTTTGGAATTGAGAAGTTTTAAGGAGGGCTATGTCGTTTTAAACAGTATTAAAAGAACATTCGATAACGTGCGATAATGAGAGTCAATGAACATAGTGAAGACTTTTTTTTAGGTCTTGATGATTTTCTGTTTCTTTTTTTTTCAGGAAAAGATCTGAAAATTTTCATGCTTTAAATTACTTTTTCGCGGTTTGACTTATGATTTCTTTTCAACTTCAGTTCATTTATTTTTTTTTTAAAGGAAGGTAAACTCCACTATTGAGCAATTCAAGTTCAAAGGTCACAAAAAATAGGACTTTAATTTTCAGATTTTCCAGATTGAAGATTTTAGCTATTGTTCCAATTTCTCAAATTGGTTAAATTTTATCAAAAAAGTTTCAATCATAAGTTGTTCTAGGAATTCAAAGAGCTTAAAAACCCATCTTTTGTTTTTTATCATTGCGATAAGCAAGGGTATTGCAATCGGGTACTAGACTTTTTCCCGTAGATAACTTAGTTAACTGGACTCTTTTCATCTGCATTCATTTACTGGAAGCTTCTAATAGCAACATTTTTGCGCTCTAGATATTTGTTGTATGTGTTAGCTTTTTAAGTATCTGTCCACTTCGATTTTTTCTGTTGGTTGTAATTTTACCAACTTGACCCTGGAGTCTTTTCACCTGGATTCATTTACTAGAAGCCTCTAGTAGCAACATTTTTGCCTTCTACATATTTGTTGTGCGTGTTGGCTTTTTAAATATCTGTCCAGTTCGAATTTTTTTATGTTGGTTGTAATTTAACCAAGTTGACTCTGAAATCTTTTCATCTGGACTCATCTATGGAAGCCTCTAGTAGCAACTTTTTTGCGCTCTAGATATTTGTTGTACGTGTTGGTTTTTTAAATATCTGTCCAATTCGATTTTTTTAATGTTGATTGTAATTTTACCAACTTGACCCTGGAGTCTTTTCACCTGGACTCATTTACTGGAAGCCTCTAGTAGCAACATTTTTGCCTTCTAGATATTTGTTGTGAGTGTTGGCTTTTTAAATATCTGTCTAGTTCCAATTTTTTTTAATGTTTGTTGTAATTTTACCAAGTTGACTCTGAACTCTTTTCATCTGGACGCATCTATAGAAGCCTCTAGTAGCAACTTTTTTGCACTCTAGATATTTGTTGTGCGTGTTGGCTTTTTAAATATCTGTCCACTTCGATTTTTTATGTTGATTGTAATTTTATAAACTTGACCCTGGAGTCTTTTCACCCGGGCTCATTTACTGGAAGCCTCTAGTAGCAACATTTTTGCCTTCTAGATATTTGTTGTGCGTGTTGGCTTTTTAAATATCTGTCAAGTTCCAATTTTTTTAATGTTTGTTGTAATTTTACCAAGTTGACTCTGAACTCTTTTCATCTGGACTCATCTATAGAAGCCTCTAGTAGCAACTTTTTTGCGCTCTAGATATTTGTTGTGCGTGTTGGCTTTTTAAATATCTGTCCACTTCGATTTTTTTTATGTTGATTGTAATTTTATCAACTTGATCCTGGAGTCTTTTCACCTGGGCTCATTTACTGGAAGCCTCTAGTAGCAACATTTTTGCCTTCTAGATATTTGTTGTGCGTGTTGGCTTTTTAAATATCTGCCCAGTTCGATTTTTTTTATGTTGGTTGTAATTTTACCAACTTGACTCTGAACTATCTTCATCTGGACTCATCTATGGAAACCTCTAGTAGCAACTTTTTTTGCGCTCTAGATATTTTGTGCGTGTTGGTTTTTTAAATATCTGTCCACTCGAATTTTTTTTTATGTTGGTTGTAATTTTATTAACTCGAATTGTAAAGTTTTTTTCCGCTTAATAAGTTTTGGCCCATATAATATTGATTTAGTCGCCTTATATTGCTTCGTTCGACAAGCGAAAAAAATGTGCGTGTCTGTGTCTTTTGAGGGTCTGGGGGGACTAAATAACTTTGTTTAGTCTGAAATCTCAATTTTTTTTTGAATTTTTCTTCGGTTTTTATGTTGTTTTTTCCTAGTTTTTCGGCTTAATAGGTTTCGGTCTATTTTATATCGGCGCAGTTGCTTCATATTGTTTGACTTGACTAGCGAATAAATTTTTGTGTATACGTGTTTTCAAGGTGAGGGGGATCTAATACATTTTCATAAGCTTTGTTGAGTTTTTTTTCGGCCTAAAGTGTTTCTGCTGAGGTGTTTTCGTCGTTTTTACCGCTTGGTATTGTTTAGATGCTTATTTTACATTCTATTATCTTGGTACGTTTTTGTTTCAAAACTAGCTTTTCTCTTTTTGATATATCTAATTTTTTTTGACAATTTCGAATTTTGTTTCACTTAAGGGCTTTTTTGTTTTTTATGGCAAGTGGTGCGAAGCTCAGCTTCGTCTGTGTTGAAATTTGAAAGTTGAGATTTTTTCAAAAAACATTTTTTGTTCAATTACGTTTATTGATTCTTTTCCAAATGTCGGTTGGCTCTATCTGTTTTCTTTGAAGCTCAAAGCTTGTAAGAAAAAAATATTCATGTTTTCTGCGTTGTAGTCGATTAAAGCTTTTCCAACTGTATTAAGCTATTTTTTCTCTAGCTTTCCATCTTTATGTTTGATTCGATATGGTTACTGTTTTCGGAAATGCTTGTGTGCCATAAAGCAGCAACAAGCTAAGATGATTTTTTCGTTTATGTGGCAGAGTTTGTTGCTCTTGTTATTTCCTCCAGCCTTTGAAAAGAGTCAGACAGGTTTGAACTGCAGTTCGGCGAATTTAGGAAGAAATTTTTTGGTTTGTAATCAAGTTATGCTTTCTTATCGTATTGTTTCACAGCTTACTGAATCTATTACATGTTGGAAGCAGTTAAAATTGAAAAACCTATCAATTGAAAAAAAAATAATGCAAAAGTTGAAGATAACGTAATCATTGTTTGTTGTGGTTGTTTCGCTTGCCTACTAAGGGCATATACATTGAAGTACTGAGTTTTGTTGAGCTTGAAATTTTTGTCGTGTTAGGCAAAGAAGTGTTGTTGGCGGATGAAGAGACAGTGATGTTGAAGACGAAGGGAGTGATCATTTGTAGTCTTGCATGGGCTCTGGGGGCAGATGGGACTCCTCTGGTACCACCAACAACATCACAGAGCACGGCAAAGAGACTACACGCAACAACAATTGCACAAGAGTTAGAACTGTTACCTGTAGGGTTTCCCATGCTATACAGTATTGTGTGGGTCTCTTTATTTTGCTAAAGTGATAGGGGATGTTCGTGACTACGTAGAAAATTCATATATGTTCTACCGTTGAATTAGTTTTCCATGGGGGTGGAAATATTTTACTCCGTCGAAAAGCAGTTGAGTCTATACTCACCATGATCTATGTGCGTTGCTTAAGTGTATGGCCATGAAGATAAGCCAATAAGTTACATGTTCGTCCCAAATATATGAGCAGCAGCAGGTCTCCGTATACAGATGATTAGCTCTTGATGAATCTGCTTAACAATCGCCCTCCCTTTGGTATCTACTTAAGAATTGCCACCCCTTTTAATATAAGGAGTAAATAGCACTAGAGCTTTTTATTTAAAATTCGATTTACTGCAATCTGATTGGTCGAAAATGTGTTATTTTAATCTACATAACAATTGCCTCCCTTTCTTAAAAAGGGGGGGGGGGGAATTGTTATGTTGATACCTCTTGATTTTTTTCCTACGCCTGGTTGATAATTAGTCTTAATAACATGATGTTTGTTTTTGTGTCACCAGTGGAGGGATGATGCAGATGCCAGCTGACCCTATTTCGGCCATTGGCTCCACTGGACATCTGGACATGCCTGCTCTGGTCGAGTGGGTGAGACAGAACAGACTGGACCCTAACGACCCCCAGTACTCCACCATTCTTTACCACGTTAAGGTGAGTTAGTGAGTGAGTAGTCGGTCTTGTTAGACACTACAACAGATTATTTCTCTTGTAGTCAATTTGGTTTTATTCAATGTGAACAAGTGTAAATTTGTAAATTAATGCAAACTAAACTGCTCGTAAATCAGGGCAAAGCCCTAAGTAGTTCGACTGTCCCTTAATTCATATCGAATAGTTTTTGGGAAAAGAAAATTTTGAAAACCTATACACTTTGCACAAAATCAAATTGGAAAATTTTGAGTCGTACGAAATTACTACGACCAATTAGCTAGCCTCAATTCAATTTGGAATGATTTTGTTGGACGGGATAATTCGCCACGCATAAATAATTTGCGTTACGCTCTCAGCATTATGGATAAACTCTTCAAAGCGCGCATAATTTAGTCCAGAATATGGCCAATCAAACCTCCAGAACTTAACAAAAAATGAGGTGAAATATCTTTATACATTTGAACTCAGGAAGTCGATATCTTCAATGGGGTATAAAAAAATTTCGTTCAACTTTTATTTCGATCGGCGAAAATTGAATGAACAAAAAAAACCACACCGATTATAAATATTCCGTTTTCTTCGAAAGTCAGAATAATTAAAGGAGCCGAAATTGAAAGATTACTTAAGCAAATCAATTAAAATTGAATCGTTTTTATTCTTAAGCAGGTCATATCGGAAGCGACAGTTTGAATTTAGTGGTTATTGGAGCAAATTTTTCATAATTGAGATCATTTATTGAGGGATATTGTCCTAACAAAAGAGTACGCTGTATGACAACAACAAGTTATTGCATTGCGTCTGTCAAGTTCAAAATATGCTCTCGAAATGTTAGAAAATTTAGCCAGATTTACTTTGACCATATGATGCGTGTTTTAGATGTATACAGATGGAGCTGTGGGTGAGAGCGAGAGAGGCCCGGCCGAGTACTTCCGGCTGGAACAGCTGCAAGAGGAGTTCGACTTCTGCTCGGACGAGGAGCTGCACTCTAACAGGCGATTCCGACTACTCGAATACAGATCACAGGAGGTCCCCGAGTTCAGACACTACAGGATGGTACCGGCGTTCGAAAAAGAAATCAGCGCCAACGTTTTTGATGTAAGGAAACGTGCGATAGTCGCAAAGGAAGATTTTTCTTAGAAAAGAGGATCTACTTAACAATTTCCACCCTTTCAAGAAAGGGGGGGGGGGGATTGTTAAGTAGATCAAAATGGTCCATTTTTCGACCAATCAGAATGCAGCAAATTAGATTTCTCAATAGAAAGCTCAGTGCTAATTTACTGCATTTAATAATAGGGGTGGAGGATTCTTAAGTAGGTACCATAGGGGGGGGGGGGGGGGAGGTTGTTGTTAAGTAGATCCAGAAAAGATTTTGAAACAAGTTTTTAGGCGCTTCGAATATTAATATTGCATAATGATTATTTATATGGGGATATAGTCCTACGAAGTCGGTAGTTCGAATTTCTTAGTATTCGGTTATTTTTCCAAGAGGTTTTTTGTCATGTTTTTAAGTTTGTTGTCAATGAGCCAAGTGAAGACTCTTATTTCGGTCTTGTCTTGTCTTGCACAATATCAAAACTGCTGAATGATTATTTATATGTAGATATAGTCCTACGAAGTCGGTGGTTCGAATTTCATAGTAATAGGTAATTTTTCCAGGAGGTTTGTTGCCGTGTTTTTGTTCCGACCATTGAAAATGGGGAGAAACTTTGTATTCGGGTGTTTTAGTTTTTTTTGCCTTTTGTTTTCCACAACTTGAAGAATTAGAAGTAATAATATATAAAATAACATCGATGTTGTCGAGGAATTGGCTGCAACCGAACTCAATTCCGCCAGAACTTCATTGTTATTTAAGTCATTATAACTTCGACATCTCAATTTTGTAGACCTGTTTTAGCTTGTAGCGCATGTTATCGCCGCCAAAAAGTTTGGATCGAATCTGACTAGAATATCTACTTTAGGCACTCTAAAAGTCTTTTTCTGCTCAAAAAAATTAAGAATCTGACGCAAATGCTACACTACTGACTTTTTAAACTGATGATTTTAGAAGTTTTTTTGTCTTCAGAGTCATTTTGAAATCTTCCAATAGTTGCAGGTTTTTGAGTTCCAACAAATCCTGATCGTTATTTCGGGATTTTTAAAATTTTACTCTTATCTTTAATTAACTGAATTAAATTTTTTTCTGATAACAAAGAGTAACGAGGATGTCCGGCTGCTCTGCAAGATGCGCAATTTGTTTCGAGTGCAATTATTCAAGAAAAAAAATGAAGAGAAGAGAGAAAATTTCATTTTTTGTTTTTCACTTTAAAATTTTTCATTTTTTAACTTTGTTCAAGGTATTTTGTTTTATTCAAATTAGAATGAATTAGGTAGACGAAAAAGTTGAGACTTAGAAAAAATGATAACTACAAAACCTTGAGGTTAGCGGAATTGTGAATTGGGTTGGGTTGAAGCCAAATTTGTCCAAATTAGTCTGAAAACCGAAAATATTTTTTATTTTTTTCTTGAAAATTCAGTATCTCGTTTCTACAAGTTTTAATAGGATACCAATTTTGAGATCATTACGAGGTTTGTTTTTGATATTTAAAGTTAGCTGAAAAAAATGCCGAGAATCAAACTGATTCCTTCTCTTGAATGAAGTTTTGAAATGAGCTTAATTTTTTTGTGTGCTAGAAATTGGATAGATATTTGCCTGCTCTAAATGTTAATTGTTTTAAAATTATTAAAATATGTAGCATGTCTTTTATATTTGAATTTTTGAGAGTAATTAACGTAGTGAGGACTCTTATTTAGGTTTTGTTGATTTTCTTTTTTTTTTTTTTTTCAGGAAAACGTCTTAAAATTTGTTCACGCTGAATTTTGATTTTTCGCGGTTTGACTTGTGATTTCTTTTTAAGTTCAGTGCATTTCCATTGTTTAAAGGAAGGCAAAATCCACTATCGAACAGCAAAAATGTAAAGGTCACGATAAACGTGATCGACTTCTGATTTCGAAAATGGAAATAAATAATCAGATATCCCAATGAAATATAAGTTCTACCTATTGATCCAGTTTTCTCATATTGGGTTAGTTTTAACAAAAAAACGTCCATCATAAATTGTTCTACAACTTCGAAGAGCTTCAAGGTCATCTATTTTTTTTCTTCGAAATTCAAAAGTTGAAGAATTTAAAAAAAAGTCCGTTTTTGTTTCAGTTTCATTGCGTTCATTGCTCTTTTCCAACTGTCAGTTGGCTATGTTTTTTTTACATTTTGAACCGGAATATGTTGTATAGAAAAAGGTGCACAGCTCCGATTAGATTCTGTGCTAACTTAACATTCCACTCTAAATCAGGTGCTACAAATTAAGTTCGGATTGCGCGGAGGGAGTGTGCTTTATCGCATTGAATTCCATCAGTAGTGAAGCCCTTATGTATAGTGTTGTTTCTCAGTTTTCACTCTTGAAGTTCGTCAAAACTATTCATTGCATGTGAAGATTGCTAACAATTTATTATAAAACGTTAATTAAGCCTTTGGAAGTTCATTCTAAGCTAGTTTTCGGTCCTCCCACATCGGTCGGAACATTCTCTGCTATTTGCCCAGCAACTGGCTGTTCTTGTTAATTATAGTGCATGTAATGTGTTATTTTTGCATATTGCAGGAGTACGAGAATAAAATGTCTGAAGAAGTGGACGACCGAAGTGGGAAGTCGAGAATGGCGGGGACATCAAAGGGAATAGGTGTGGAGGAAGATATGGACGAGCATAGAGTGCTTGTGAACAAGATCAGAAAGAGAGTTTATGAGAATGTGCTGGTCAGGTTCATCCAAGCCAGACACCAGTTCGCTATTTCAGACATAGTAGACGAACCAACCATACCAAACACGGAGTAAGTACAATATCTGGCTCTTTTCCAGTTTTAAGCCTTCTGAATAAAACAAGCCAGCATAAATGAGTGAACAGAATTTTGGCGTTTTTATTTCTACATGCAAATTTCTACAAATAAACAGAACTTTGCGAATTTCTACAAAATTATTAAGGGGTTGGGAAACTGTAAAATAGTCCAATATCCATACGCCAATTCATATACGCTCGAATAGTCCACACAGGTACACTTGCTATGATTTAACTAGTTTGTTAAACGATGAAATCAGTTTTGGTTTTATGTCACACCGTAGCCACTGTTAATAAAATGGATTAAAAACTGGTTTCTCCTAGAAAATCTGTTTCTTCGTTTAAATACAGTTCGATTTTTTTTAAAATGTAGTTCGATTGAACTTACAAGACAGAAAGACTCGAAATCTTTTGTGATCTTCTTCGGTGCAATAGATTTCGCGTGTTTTATAAGATTCAAATAATGACTTCAAGGTTTACAATAGTCCTAACTCAAATTATGGTTCATTTTAGAAGCGATGGGTAAGGTTGAAGCATGTAGTGCGAGAATGTTTTTGATCATCCCACGAAAATCATCATACAGATAAACCGCTTTTAAACAAATTTCATATTTCATTCACAAAAAATTTAAATTGGTCAAAAGCCTTTAGATACACCAGGGGCGGAATGATTTTCTGAGCTCTCTCAAATCACTAAAAATCCGCCCCCCCCCCCACTCGAGAAAATCCTAGATCCGCCCCTGATAAAGACCCTATGTAGACACAATTTTTCCGCTGCTGGCCAGTTTGAAAATAAAACAGACCACAAACAGACGTTTTGAGGCTTTTTTTTGGATGGTTCCGACCTCAAAAATAACGTTTTTTTTTGCGCGCTCCTCCCTCAAAATTAGTATATATTGGCGCCTTTAGATGAATTTTAGGATCTGTCGGCCAAAAATTGATGTCCTAAACTATAACCCAAGGGGGATCTTTTGGGTGGCGAGGAGTCGAATTTCTGAAGATGGTGTCAGCCCCCACCTTCCCTGAATCTGCTACTGATATGCACAAAGTTGATAGACTTTCGAATAAGATCAGTTGAGGAGCTTTTTGTAAATTAATTTGCTTTTAATCCACAAATTAGATTAACAGAGCCCTGCCAAGGCAAGTTTTTGAAATAGCTGGCCACAAATATAAGGTGTATTTTGGCGCCCAGAAAAATTTACGAGTTGGTCGACTGAAAATGATTGAAAAATAGTTTCAAAAGTAACCATTTGGGCGGTAAATGAAAGGTCTTGAGGAATCCTTCTCGACCCTGGAAGGTTTTATTCGTCGAGCAATCCTATCAAACTTTTCAAATGGGTGAACCGAATGCTCTCAAATGTTTGTGAAGTTGTTTGAGTTCTGTATTGGTTAATAGTTTGAATCTTTTAAGCACCAACAAAAAACGGAGGTTTGTATTAATGTGAAGGTTCCTCTCCGAACTTGGATTTTGAAGCACTAAATGTTCAGTATGGTAACTTCAGGGTGTGTCTACGGGTGTGTCAGGAATATATAATATAAAATAATCCAAAAAAAATCAGCTACGAATGTTTAATATGTTCACACTAGCTAAATTTGCGTTGTTTTAAGTTAACCGTCAAATAAATTAAAGAAGAAAAAATACAATTATTTCACCAGAGAGCAGCTAACGAGTCCAGAGAGATTATATGCTTTACTATCCTTTTTTTATTAGCCCCCGGTCCTACTGACTGTCCTCATCTTGAATTCACAAAACGGAAAAGTTTTTAAGAGTCGATGGACGCAGTGAAGAGTCTTGTATAGGTCATGATGATTTTTTTCAGGAAAAACCTCAAAATTTGATCAGGTTAAAGTTACTTTTTGCGGTTTGACTTCTGATTTCTTTTTTAAATTCAGCATAGTTTCTTTGGTAAAAGGAAGGCAAACTCCAGTATCGAACAGCAAAAGTGAAACGTCACGAAAAACGTGATCGACTCTAGTTTCGAATTTGGATTTAAGTTTTCAGATTTCCCAGTGGAATAAAAGTTTTGCCTATTAATCCAATCAGGGGCGGATTTAAGGTGGGGAGGGGTGCGAAAGCCACCCTCCCTCAGGGATTCGACCCCCTGCCGACGCAAAGCTTCCCCCCGTTGTACTATTTTGAGATATCCATTTTTGGCTGACGGATTGTTTTTTTTTTAAATTTTCCTGCGGCCCAGAACATTTTGTCAAAACAGGGTCTTTTTAGTTCTTTGGGAGAGCTCGAAAAATCTTTTTTTGTCGAGCTAAACAACGGTTGACAAAGTTTTTGAAATTTTTTTTGAAAATCCGCCTCCCCCTCGAGTAATATTTTTTACTTTGAATTTCGAAAGTTGAAGTTTTTCCAAAATAAGTCAGCTTTTTTGTCTGTTTCCTTGCGTTCATAGACTCTTTTCCAACTGTCTGTTGGCTATGTTTATTAAGTGCGGTTGGCTTGTTGTTTAGCACGAAATTAGATAAATATTTTTCTCATAAGCTTCTAATGGAGATTTTGTTAATTTGAACCAATCAGATTTAATTTAGCGCTAAATTCTAATTTTTTTTCGAGATAGCGATAGCCTCAAAATTGGTCAATGAAAAACTTACCTTTGTATAGGTTATTGGGCGAAGCTGTGAAGAAGTTCTTTGAACCGAGACGACCTCTGCGTCCCCCGAGGAAAGAGAGGAAGGCAGTGACTGCGCCCAATCTTAGTGGAGCGGATGTGAGGATCCTTGTGAATGTCACTTCAGCCACTCACCTGCCAGTCAGGAAAGACACCAAGGCGTAAGTTTACTGGTGTTTTCAAATTCGAGTTTATTTGTTCATTTCGTGTAAGTTAACTTACCCTCCCCTAGAATTAGAGTTTGGGAAAATGTGACATTATTGGTCTGCATCTGTTGATTGTATCTCTCAGGCTAGCAATATGCTCGAAATCTGAATAGCTTTTTGATTGAAAATACTAAAAATATGTTTAATTATTGCAGTATTTTTGTTGTCTTAATACAAAGTCCTCTGTTTTCTTCAACCTAAGTCGCAAATATTGGTGATACTTTTGGTGGAACCATTAATTTTACGAAAGTTATTGAAAGACTGGCTGTATATTCCGCTAGCCTTTTAGAATCTTTCAGTATAGATTTTTTCGACCCATTTTTTTTCTTTTTCGCAAAAATTACCTCATCAAATCTGCGATTAAGACTTGAATTGAAAAAATTTATTAAGCTATGCCCTTGTTTTGGTATAAAATAATTATGGTCTTAACAAATGCCCAAATTTTGAACTGATCGTTTCTTCGATTTTTTTTTCTTCTCGAAAACTACCCTGCCGAAAATCTGAGATCAATAAATCAATCCGTCGAATTAGTGTTAGGACTGCTCTCACATATATGAAAACCGCTACCTCCGTATTTTTGTGGACAAAAATTCTAGAACATAGTTTGTCAATTTTTGAAGTTAGACCATTTTTTGCAAACTTTTGACTATTCTCTGATCCTACCCTGTCTAATCTGGGATTAAATGTTAATCGAAAGCAGCGTTACCAGCAATTTCGTCTGTGTAAGCAGCTACGCACTTATACAGATAAAATTCAGCAATTTTACACTGGCGAAGCGAGTGTATTAGTACGAACCTTCTTTTTTTCCAATCATTTGAATAGTAGTAAGTTAACGCAGTTGATGGATTTTAATTTATCAAATGAACCGCAAAAAAATTATTTGTTTCAAAAACATTAATAATGAAAAACTCGATTTCAGAAAATTTCTAATTCAATACGTCTCCCAATTTTTTGATATGCGTAATTTAAACATAATGTGGCTTTATGCTGTGCGATTTGTGACATGCAAAGTTAGTGTGGATGCCTTCAGGTTGTATTCCAATTTATTTCTTGCAAAATTGAGTCTTTTTGAGTTTGGTGTCACTTTTGCTGAATGGCATTGGCAATTTATTTGCATGTTTAGCTGCTTAATTCGTGGCTAGTGTTTGTCGCTTGGTAAAACTTGCGTGGCTGAGTGGATAGTGCGAGGGATTCAAAATCTCTTGATTGCAGTAGGTCGCAGATTCGAATCCTACACGTAGCCGAGTTCTTGCTAATTCCAGGCTTATTTATCTTTTTTCTTATTTCAATTGATAGAGCTGGATTTTGGTTTGCGAAGCGCTGCTTCGCCTCTGTGTTAGAAAAATGGTTTAGAAAAAGTCCACATTTGAAGTTTTGACCGTTTGTCGGATTTTTTTTTCGTTTTTTTTTTGAAAACTACTGCCAAATCTGAGATTAAGGGTGCAATCGAAGAACAAGTTGTAGGGATCTCACCTGCATTAAAGATTCTATCAATTGTGGTAAGCAATCAACTATGCAGTTAAGACATCGATAATTTTGACCTGTTTTTCAGTTTGTGTCCGAGGAAATTGTTCATTTTTTTGACGTTTTCCACGTTGTTTCCAAACGTTTTCTCAAAAAACCCTGCCAAATCATTTATCAAGAGTTTAATCGAAAGAAGAGGTTTTCTTATTTTTTTTTATATAGCTGCGAGAAAAATTTTTTACCTTATAAAATGTAATATTTTTGAAGTTCTGCTTGTTTGGAAACTTCTCGAAAGCCACGCTGCCAAATCTGAGATTAACGATTCTATTATAAGAACAGAATCTGCGCATTTTCTCTGCACAAGCAGTTGTGTCCTTACTTATGAAGGAAAATGCTTGTGGCCTTAGAAAATGTCCAAATTTTGAAGTTTGTTTGTTTTTCTTTTTGAAATTTTACAAATCCGCTATGGACCGGTTAAACATACAATAAGTGACGTTTTGGCCCATTTTGTAGATTTTGCTCAATTTTCTCAAAACCACCATGCTACTAGTTCTGAGGTTGAGAAATCAATCAAATGGAGATGTTTTACTGATGTCCCTTGCAAAAACGTTCTCTCAGTACACTTGATAAAAAATCAGCCAAGAACTTTTCCCAAGTGACCATGGAGCAGAAGGTAGGACGGGTAATTTTAAGGTGATGTTATGTTTTCTTCATGTCAGCAAGAAGTGTTTCTGAAAAAATAAAAATAAATTTTGGCATACGCGTGTTTTGTTTCAGGAATCACGAAGAGGGCTATGTGAGTAGTTTACAATGAAATGTTCATTATAACCCGTGGCTGACTGAGGATTTTGTACTGCATGTACTGTCATTACTTATTAACACACTAAATTGACAAACGAGGATTTTAAATTTGATTTGCAGAACGGAAACGGTTTTGGCAGAGTCAACCAGGTACATTGTTTTTCTATGCTTAAAGATTGCTTTATTGTCCATTGCTAGCTGATGCTTTCTTTAATTTTTGTTTTTGCTTTGTGAGGTTTGAAAACTCCAAGGAATGCAAAATCAAAGTGAGTCAACAAATATTTGATGGGATTTAATAAGTTTCATCTCAAAAATTCATAAAATGAAAAATTCACCAAGTCAGCATAATTAAAGAAGCAGGGTAAATTTAATTTCAAGCACCACGACGTGAACTCTTGAACTGCTCAAGTGAGAAACAATTTTAGAAAATGGTTTTTCTGTTTTTAGTTATTAACGAATGAAGTGAGTTGTTCTCTTGTACGTCGTATATTTGTATGTTTTCTACGAGACTTAGATCTTGTTCAAGCTCCATTTTTTGTTTTAACGGTTTAACTTTAGATACTCATACATTTCATGTTTCAGGCTCTGCTCAGAGTAAAAATAGAACATGAAAGGGTTCGAACAATTGCTGTTCGCTTTTAGGTTCAAAAATGATTCAATTTTTAGAGTACCGTGGAATGAAAAAGAACTACCTTTTGACCGTGTATTATTTTGACCCAGTTGTTTAAGAGTCGATGAACGTAGTTCAAACTCTTATTTAGGTCGCGATGAATTTTTTTTGAGGCTTAAATTTAGTTTTTCGGGGTTTGACTTTTGATTTCTTTTTAAGCTTAAGTCAATTCCTATGTTTAAAGGAAGTCAAACTCGAACAGCAAAAGTGTAAAGGCTACGAAAAACGTGATCAACTTCTAATTGCGAAAAGGAACTTTATTTATCAGTTTTCCCGGTGAAATAGAAGTTTTACCTTTTGATCCAGTTTTCTCAAATCGGGTTCATTTTTATCAAAAAAGCGCCAATCATAAATTGTTCTAGAAATTCAGAGAGCTTTATGAAATCTATTTTTGCTTGGAATTTCGAAAGTCAGTATTTTCAAAAGTAATGAACGTAGTGAGTACTCTAATATAGGTCTTGGTGATTAAGAGTTATGAATGTAATCAGTACTCATGAATTTTGTTTTCAGGAAATTTCTTCACTCTCAATTTTTATTTTTCATTAGCTTGTGTTCGTCATCAAGTCCATACAAAACCAACTCTGTTACTTTTTTGAGCCCAGTGAAGACGCTTAGTGCTCCGCATTCAAAAAATGTGACGGAAGGTCTCTAGTGTTTTCCGAAGATAAATTTAGTTTTTTCGTTTTTCAGATACGCCTTTCAATCAGGGGGTAATTACACTTTCCAATAATAGCAAAGAAAAGGGCGAAAATTTTCAGCTTGGTTTGCGTGAATAAAAAACTGCGTCAGTAATTTCATTTGCATTTTACGGTGGTATAAACGGGCTATAGTGAGTAAATAAAAAAAGTAATCTGAATTTTATTAATGAAAATCTCTGTGAGCTGGAGACTAAATTGAAACTACCTAATAATTAACTAATTAAGTTAATTGACGAGAAAGGGTCATCAAAATATGCCTCTTCTTTAAAGGAAAGCAAACTGCTCTGTCAAAAGAAAATGTGTTAAGGCCTCGAAGAACCTGATTGACTTAAATTTCGAAAACGGATTTAATTGTACAGATTTTCCAGCGGAATTGAAAATATACTTATTGATCTAGTTTTCTCAAATTGGGCTAATTTAATCAAAAAGGCACCATTCATTAAATGTTCTTGAAATTCAAAGAGTTTATAGGGCATATATTTGTTCTCTAAAATGTGAAAATTGTAGTTTTTCAAAAAATAAGTCAGTGTTTTTTCTGTTTCCTTGCAATCATTGATTCTTTTCCAACTGTCTGTTGGCTCTCTTTTACTTATCACTAGAATTGAAAATTTATAGGTATATCCAAGTTGTTTTTTTTTTTGGTAATTTGCGTTTTTTACAGTCGATGAACGTAGTTTAGACTTATATAGGTCGCGATTTTTTTAAAGAAGAAAAAAGCTTAAAATTTTGATCACACTAGTAAGTTTTTTCGCGGTACGAATTTTCGTTTGTTTTTAGTTAAGCTCTTTTTCTTTGTTAAAAATAAGGGAAACTCCGTTATCGAAAAGCTGTTTTGTAAAAATCACGAAAATGTGATCGACTTCTTGTTTCGAAAATTGAATTTACTTTTCAGATTTACCTGCGAAATAAAAAAATTTACTTTGATCTAGTTTTTTTTTCAAATTAAGTCAATTTGGTTTTAAAAAGTGTTAATTATAAATTGTTTTTGAATTTCAAAGAGCCTCAAGGGCATTTATTTTCTTGAAAATTCGAAGGTCAGTATTTTTCTGTTTACTTCATTGACCCTTTTCCAACTGTCTGATGGCTATATTCTGTTTGACTTGCGTTCATTTGCTCGTTTCTAGCTGTATGTTGACTATTTTTAAAGCTCATTAACGCTTAACCAACTGTGCATTGGTACCTTGTTGACTTTAAAAAGTTTTTTTTTCATTGAAGCAATGGAATTAGTAAAAACTATTATATATGTCGTGATGACTTTTCGTTTGTTTCAGGAAATGTCTCAAAATTTAATCACCATTATACTCGATTGTTCGTGCTTTGCCTTTTGATTTGTTTTTAAGCTCACTTTTTTTGTTAAAAGAAAGTGAGCAGAAAGAAATTATCGAGCATCAAAAGTGTGAACGTCACGAAAAGCGTGATTGACTTCTAATTTCGAAAATGGATTTTAATTTTCAGCTTTCCCAGTGAAATAAAAAATTCCAATTGATCCAGTTTTCTTCATTTAGAATATTTTTATCAGTATAGTGTCGATAATCAATTCAAAGGTCTTTAACGCTATCCATTTTTTTCTTTGAAACTCGGTATTTTATTTCTGTTTTCTTGCTATCATTAATTCTTTTCCAACTGTCTGTTGGCTATGTTTAAAAATTTTAGAACTGATTTTATTACGTGAAGTTTTTTAAATGCATAACTTTTCACATAGTTTTGCTGCATAGTTTGCAGACTATTTTATGCAAAATTATTGTCTTTCAAAATTTGTCTTTGTGATTGTCTTTCAAAATTTTACTTGAAAAATTGTGGTTTTATGCAGTTTGAATCCACATTTCGACGCTTTCTCGCTTTTCTTTGATTTCTATAGTCGTCAGTGGAACCATGCGAACGAAAAGAAGTCAGCTGGAAAATTTGTTTTCGCGAGGAAAACGTTCAATTCCCGCATTGGTCCTATTTTTTTTCAATTTTCTTTTTTTTTTCAAATTTTTCTGTTTGTCTTAATTGACTCTTTTTAGGAAATTTTCGCCTTCTGATTTTTGGTTTTTTGTAGCTACCTTGTACGTGTGGGTTTTGTTTCAGAGAAGATGAACGTAGCTGAGACTCTTATTAAGGTCGCGATTTTTTCCAGCTCAAGTTTACTTGCGTGGGTTCGAATTCTGATTTTTGTCAAGTTCAGTTCATTTCGGTTGTTAAAAGGAAGGCAAACTCTAGTATCAAAAAGCAAAAGTGTAAATTCATGAAAAGGTGATCGACTTCTATTCACAAAAATTGAATTTGATTTCAGTTTTCCTGGCGAATTATTATTTTTTAATTAAGAGTAATGAACGTAGTGAAGACGCTTATATAGGTCTTGCTGATTTTTTTGTTTTTCAGGAAAAAGTCTTAAAATATTGATGCACTTAGGTATAATCCTCTTTTTGAGTTCAGTTGAAATTCATCTGCTGAATGTGACGTAAATAGCACTCTACAAATACGAACGTGGAAATGGCGCAAAGAAACGATTTCTACTTTCGAAAGTGGAATTATTTATAAGATTTTCCAGCTGAATAAAAACTTTAACTACTGATCCAGTTTTCTGAAGTGAAAAGGCGCCTAGCGTAAATTGTTCTAGAAATTCAAAGAGCCTAAAGGGCATCCTTTTTTTCTTTGATTGGCTGTGTTCCAGTTTTCTCAAATTAGTTAAATGTTATCATAAAATTATCAATAATAAATTCAAAGAGCTACTAGGCCATATATTTTTCGAAACGTTTGAAAAATTGACATTTTAAAATTTATTCAGTGTTTTTGTTCTGTTTACTTGCGTTCATTGACTCTTTTCTCTCTGCCTATTGGCGATGTTTTTGTTTTCTTTTTCAGTTACAGTTTTCTGTTGACTGTGTATAAGGTGAAATAAAAGCGGATCTGCTTAATGATCTTCCTCTTTTGACTTGCTCTGGAATTGAACTAGAAATGATAAGCTACATATTTTTAGATAAATTGTTTCATTATGAGAGTGAAACTTTTCAGATTTAGTAAAATAATAGTCCGAGAAAAATAATAAAAAATATTACTTTGATCTAGTTTTTTCAAATTAAGTCAATTTGATTTTAAAAAAAGTTAATTATAAATTGTTTTTGAATTTCAAAGAGACTCTAGGGCATTTATTTTCTTGTAAATTCGAAATCCAGTATTTTTCTGTTTACTTCATTGACCCTTTTCCAACTGTCTGATGGCTATATTCTGTTTGACTTGCGTTCATTTGCTCGTTTCCAGCTGTCTGTTGCCTATTTTTAAAGCTCATGAACGCTTAACCAACTGTACATTGGTACCTTGTTGACTTTAAAAAGTTTTTTTTTTCATTCAAGCAATGAACTTATTAAAAACTTTTATATATGAACTATTATATATGTCGTGATGATTTTTCGTTTGTTTCAGGAAATGTGTCAAAATTTAATCACCATTATATTCGATTGTTCGTGCTTTGACTTTTGATTTGTTTTTAAGCTTACTTTCTTTATTAAATAAAAGTGAGCAAAAGAAATTATCGAGCATCAAAAGTGTGAACGTCGCGAAAAGCGTGATTGACTTCTAATTTCGAAAATGGATTTTCATTTTCAGCTCTCCCAGTGAAATAAAAAATACCAATTGATCCAGTTTTCGTCATTTAGAATAATTTTATCAGTATAGTGTCGATAATCAATTCAAAGGTCTTTAAGGCTATCTATTTTTTTCTTTGAAACTCGAAAGTTGAATTTTCAAAAAACGAGTCGGTATTTTATTTCTGTTTTGTTGCGTTCATGGATTCTTTTCCAACTGTCTGTTGGCTATGTTTAGAAATTTTAGAACTGATTTTATTACGTGATGTTTTTTAAATGCATAACTTTTCACATAGTTTTGCTGCATAGTTTGCAGACTATATTATGCAAAATTATTGTGTGATTGTCTTTCAAAATTTTCCTTGAAAAATTGTGGTTTTATGCAGTTTGAATCCACATTTCGACGCTTTCTCGCTTTTTGATTTCTATAGTCGTCAGTGGAACCATGCGAACGAAAAGAAGTCAGCTGGAAAATTTGTTTTCGCGAGGAAAACGTTCAATTCCCGCATTGGTCCTATTTTTTTTTCAATTTTCTTTTTTTTTCAAATTTTTCTGTTTGTCTTAATTGACTCTTTTTAGGAAATTTTCGCCTTCTGATTTTTGGTTTTTTGTAGCTACCTTGTAAGTTAACTTTTAATTTTTTTTTTCGAGAAAGGCTTTATTTTTTCTGTGTTTTTGACTCTTTTCCAACTGTTTGTTGGCTCTGTTTTGTATCATTGTATTCTTAGATTTTTTCTAACTGTCGGTAGGCTAAGTTTGTGAAGTTCAGCTCCGCCGGTAGATTTCCCAGCGTAATGAAAAATGTTACCGATTGATCCCGTTTTCTCAAATTAGCCTAGTTTTATCAAAAAGTTTCTTTAATAAAAGATTTTTAATAGTGAGAGAGCTCTAAGGTTACAACTTTTGTTTCTCATGATCTTAAAATTTAAAAAATGTTTACTATTTTTTGTTTCTGTTCATTGACATTTAGTAACATAGATATGTGTCTGTTGTTTCTGTTCATAGTCATTTAGATATGTTTGCTGTTATTTTGTTTTCAAGAGTGAAAATTTTCATTGAATATCTAACAAATGTCGCACCAAAATTGAAATTTCAATTGCTGTTCCCACAATTTCAAGCTAACTACAGTAAGTATATACTGTCTTTTTTCGCCCACCGTCTATTGTCTGTTATTAGTTTTAAAAATGATTTTTATTTTTTGAAACTTTTGTAAAATTGTAGAAATTGATAGATCTAAGAAACACTTTCCAATTCCTAGAGCTTTCGAGTAATTAATGCTATTCTAAAACTTGCGAAAACTCAATTTAAACGTTGTGTTTTGTTTTTCCAGAGTCTATAAACACTTTTACAATTGTCTGATGACTATGAATTATCAATGAGTTAAGACACTTCTTTTGGTCGTGTGGGTTTTGTTTCAGAGAAGGTGAACGTAGCTGAGACTCTTATAAAGGTCGTGATTTTTTTCCAGCTCAAATATACTTGCGTGGGTTCGATATCTGATGTTTGTCAAGTTCAGTTCATTTCGGTTGTTAAAAGGAAGGCAAACTCTAGTATCAAAAAGCAAAAGTGTAATTTCATGAAAAGGTGATCGACTTCTAGTCACGAAAATTGAATTTGATTTCAGTTTTCCTTGCGAATTATTATTTTTTAATTAAGAGTAATGAACGTAGTGAAGACGCTTATATAGGTCTTGCTGATTTTTTTGTTTTTCAGGAAAAAGTCTTAAAATATTGATGCACTTAGGTATAATCATCTTTTTGAGTTCAGTTGAAATTCATCTGCTGAATGTGACGTAAATAGCACTCTCCAAATACGAACTTGGAAATGGCGCAAAAAAACGATTTCTACTTTCGAAAGTGGAATTTATTTATAAGATTTCCCAGCGGAATAAAAACTTTAACTACTGATCCAGTTTTCTGAAGTTAAAAGGCGCCTCTCATAAATTGTTCTAGAAATTCAAAGAGCTTAAAGGGCATCTTTTTTTTGATTGGCTTTGTTCCAGTTTTCTCAAATTAGTTTAATGTTATCATAAAATTATCAATAATAAATTCAAAGAGCTACAAGGCCATATATTTTTCGAAACGTTTGAATAATTGAAATTTTAATAACACTTCAGTGTTTTTTTTCTGTTTACTTGCGTTCATTGACTCTTTTCTCTCTGCCTATTGGCGATGTTTATGTTTTCTTTTTCATTTACAGTTTTCTGTTGACTGTGTATAAGGTGAAATAAAAGCGGATCTGCTTAACGATCTTCCTCTTTTGACTTGTTCTGGAATTGAACTAGAAATGATAAGCTACATATTTTAGATAAATTTTTTCATTATGAGAGTGACATTTTTCAGATTTAGTAAAATAGTAGTCCGAGAAATATGATTTTCCTTGACTATTTAGACACCTAAGACTGCTTGTTATTTTAATTGTTGTAAGTGTTGTAACTAAGTTTAAGCTATTTAACTGACTAAATGTTTGTGATCCTTTTTAGCTGAATCGTTTGACTTGGATCGAAAAAGCCAAGATGGTTGAGGTATTTTTTACCGATTCTGCCATTCATCTTAACATCATTCTTCCCTATTTGCTGTTGAATATCCACTTCATTCTAGACTTTTTTTGTTCATTCTATGTAATTTGATCACAATGAAAATTCAAGGTCGTATGAAGCTAGAATATATAGCTTTAGGTTATGCTGCGCATTTCAGGTAAAATTTGTAAAAGAAATCAGCTTCGTTGTTCTGAAAATCAGCTTCTTTTAAAGAGGAAGTCATTATATCTTATAGAGGAAATCAGCTTCAGTAAATTTTTCTAATCTAATTTGAAAATCACGCTGAAGCCATTTTTCAGATACAGTTTTGAAATCCGATTCAGTTTGTATTGATGTTATCCAAGTCACTCTAAACTTCTTTTTTTTTGTAATATTGACTTGTAAGCTTTATGGCTTGGTAAGCCTATATGACACACGCATGTTATTATAGTATCTGTAAGAATTTACATGGTCATACATATGTCTTTCAGACGTACCTGCGTCCATTCGTCGAAGTCTCCTTCCGCGACCAGCGACTCTCCACTACAGCAGCCGCCTCCTACTCGCCCACTTGGAACGAGGAGATCTCCATTCCCTTCTCAGCTCCGAACAATGACTACTCGCCCTCTAACTTGCAGACCATTGACGATATTTTGTACTTCAATGTGTTCGACGAGATACATGTTGATTTAGTTCAGGTGGGGTTTTCAACTGGTAATAAAATAAAATAAATAACAATAGTAATAAGGATTGCCCGTTGCTGTGCAAGCAGCACATAATGCTCCGACCATATTTTCGAAAAAAAAACTACAGAATTTTTTTTTAAAATTGCGTTGTTTTTGTTTTCGGGTGAGAGAGGCGTAACCAAAGCGTAAAACTTTGACTGTTAAAAAATAAGATGGATTTTTCTTGGTTCGTTCTTAAAATTTCTAATCAAAAAAGCGCTAAAAGAATTTTCGATAACTAAGTTCACTTGAGTTAAATTAACTATTTGTTATTTTTACAATTGAGGTTTAAAACCAACTATTGTAAGTATATTACAAGCCTGATTGTTTGCTTTATTCGCTCGAAGTTAGATGAAAAATCAATTATTTCAAACCGGTTTTTCTCGACACAGAAATTTCAATGTCGGCCGAATCACGACTGAAAGAGCTTCAATATGATATATCACTCGACCCACATCGATGATTGTTTGTGGTACCTGATTTTGTGTGGAAAATAAAAAAAAACTTAAACACACCCGAATAGAAAGTTCCGGTTTTCAATGGTCCGAAAAAGAACAAATTTGAAATAAATTGTAATAATAATAAAAAATAGTCTCCAGGTCTGTGAATTTTTGTCAGTTTCACTTTTCTCGCAACTTGACGCCATGAAAGTGACTGAAGATTTCACTCGAGCTTTTTGTTTGGGCTCGCCCTTTTTGATTATTCCAGCTTTGCTGAAAGCCTATAATTACTAAGCATTTTGAGCAGAATTTTCACTGCACTCTTCCAATTCTGGAGGAAATTAGCGTTGGAGGTAAAATCAAACTAAACAGGGATTAGGGAAATTTTAACATTCAATTTTTAGGCCTTTTATTTTTGCAAAATTTTTGATTTCGTGACAAATTCTTGTTTGGTAGAAAGTTCCTGTTTGATAAAACAAGGTATTATATAAAAAAATATTGTGACCGGGGATTTTTTTGACGTTTTGCAAATTTTTTTAACTTTTCTAAAAAAAATAGTTTTCCTAGAAACTACTGAGCCGATTTTCAAAGAAGTGGTATCAATAGAAAGTCCTCTCACTCCCCTGTGTGCCTGCATAATCACCTGGTGTCTTTTTATCTTACCCCACTTTCTACGGCGTTCAAAATAGTTTATATGGGGATTATTTATGGAATTTTTTTTTCGCAAAAAATAGACTTCCAAATTTGAGATTTTTGGTTAAATGGATATCACGGGTTATGAAAAGCTCCCCTAGATAAGTGGATTCTTCATTTTTCCACACAAATTTTATGGACGTCGGAAATGTTAATTTTTCGATTTTTTTGACCGTTTTAAATATATTTTGACTGCTCTCGAAAACTACACTCCCACATTTGAAATTTTGATTTAAATCAAAAGGATAGGCAGTGAGAAGCTCCCTGAGCGGCTGCGCCTAAAATTTTTTCACGTAAACTAATGGACCTCGGAAAGCTGGGGTCAAGTTTTGGTTTTTTGAAACTAGACTTTTTTCAAAAACTTCTCTACCAAATCGGAAAGTTTGATTTCAATCGAAAGAACGGGTTGTAGAAAGGTCTTGTACTTCAGCAGCTACGCTTAATTTTTTTTAGACGAAAAATTAAGACACTCGGAAAAGTCAAAGCTTTGATTTTTGACCGTTTTTTCAAACTTTTTAACTTTCTCAAAAATTACCCCTCCCAAATCCAAGATTTTGGATTTATATGAGAGAAAATGTCATGGGATGCTCCCTGCATGAGCGGCTACACCCAATGTTTTATCAAAAATTTGCGCCCTCTGAAAAGTCGATTTTGTGACACTTTTTGACTTTTATCAAAAACTACCCTCCAAAATCAGATTTTGGGTTCAATCGGATGAACAGGTAATGTGAAGCTTCCGTATTATAATTGCTTTGCTCATTGTTTTACACAAAAAAATATGGCACTCCAAAATTATTTGTTGTGTTTTGAAAATTTTTGTTTTGTCTCGAAAACTACCATCCCAAATCTGAGATTGTGGGTTCAATCAAAAGAATTGTTTGAGAGAAGCTCCGATTTTGATTTTTTGAGATTACCCAGTTCATCCCGCATCAGTGTAACAAATTCAGAAATTATAACAGATACCTCCAGGTTTAGCTGGGCCCTTAGTTGAATGATCTCCAATGAGTATCATAAGCATGACGTTTTTCGTGGGGCATTTCCATTCTTTGGCAGTACAAGAAGTTGTTGTTCCGACCATGTGAAAATTGGGCAGGAACTTCGGGGTGTTGTTTAGTTTTTTCTTTGTTTTCCACGCAAAATCAGGTATCAAAAACAAACATCGGAATGGGTCGAGTGATTTATCATATTAAAGCCCTTTGAGTCGTGATTCGAACATCTTGAAATTTTCAAAAAATTGTCCCAGTGTCGAGAAAAACTGGTTTAAATTCTTTTTTCGAGCAAATATAGCGAGCGAGTAGGTTTGCAATTTTTCTACTCATTTTTCTGCAAAAATTGTTGTCAAATTTGCTGATTTCAGTATGAATGACGATGATGCCTAGTTTTCCAGATTCTTTTATCATACCACGCAGGAAAAACGACACTAATTTGAAAAAAGTTTTTTTTTTGTATTTTTCTAAGACTGGTCTGAAAATTTTGTGCTACTTTCACAGTAACCGGTTATCCTTGTAAATCTACAGATATCTTTCTTGCGACGAGAAGCCTCTCGGTAATTACACATCCTAATGATCATTTCTGACTATCTAATCAAAAATTCAAACTAAAAACTGTTAATAAGTGTTGAGTCAATGTGCTGTGTTGCGTGTAGGATGAGCGAGACAGGATGACGACAGTGCACCATCGGCTGGAGAGGAGGTGGCTGGGGTCCATCAAAGTCCCTTTTGGTACTATCTATCTCAACAGCAAAATAGAGGGCACTTTCAGACTCAACACGCCGCCGGTTCGAAAGAAGAAATCTTACTACTTTGACCAAATAATAAGCACAATTCTTGATAATTCTTTATAGTTTCACTACAAAATTCTAAACAAAGTTTCGTGACCAGGGGTGGATCTAGGATTTTCTCCAGAGGAAGGGGCGGATTTTCAAAAATTTTGCCGGCCTTTTAGGTCGACCATTTTGATTTTTAGCGCTCTATAAATCACTGTAAAGACCCTTATTTGACCAAATTTTCTGTGCAGCTAGCGAAATTTTGAAAAAAGAGGCGTTTAAGGCAATTTTTGGAAAAATTTGACTGAAAAATCGCATTTTTGGGCGCGCGCTTTTCCCTCAAATTTAGAATGCAATGGGGCAATTGAAAAAAATCGCATTTTTGGGCGCGCGCTTTTCCCTCAAATTTAGAATGCAATGGGGCAATTGAAAAAAATTGATATCTTAAAATAGTACAAAGGGGGACCCTTGGGGTCGGAAGGGGGTTGAATCCTTAAAGGAGGGGGCGTCCCCCCTCCTAAATCCCCTAGTATTCATGACAGTTCTTTTGTGGGAAATATCGAAAAGAGGCTATAGAATGACGATTTGTTTTTTTTTGAATCCATCCGGATTTTCTTTGAAAAACAATTCAACTATTTTTACCTGGCTTTTGAGTTATTAAGAGAAATGAACGTAGTGAGTATTCTAATATAGGTCTTGTTCATTTTTTGTTTGTTTTGTTTTCAGGTAAAAGTCTTTAAATGTGTTCACATTCATTTTTTTTTGATTTTTGTGCGGCTTGATTTGTGATTACTTTTTTAAGTTCAGTGCATTTCCATTGTTAAGAGCAAGGCAGACTCCACTATTGAGCAGCAAAAGTGTAAAGCTCCCGAAAAACTTGATCGACTTCTAACTTTGAAAATGGAAAATAATTATCAGATTATCAGCAAAATAAAAGTTTTACCTATTGATACTGTTATCTCACATTGGGTTAGTTTTAACAAAAAAACGTCCATGATATATTGTTATACTAATTCAAAGAGCTCTAAAGCAATCTATTTGTTTCTTCGAAATTCAAAAGTAGAAGATTTTTTAAAGAACAAGTCGCTTTTTTTCAGTTTCCTTGTGTTCGTTAATCTTTTCCAACTGTCAGTTGGCTATGTTACTATATAAAACACCAGTTTTTAAATGTTTTGCGCAATTTTTTGGAGACTATACCCTTTTTAAATGTAATCGAATTACGTAAGAGGCTCACTTTGATGGTCGAACACCGACAAAATTACATCAAAGTGAGCCTCTTACGTAGCTCGACCACATTTAATAAGGGTGTAGTCTCTAAAAAATTGCGCAAAACCTTTAAAAACTGGTGTTTTATACAGTAAATATAGCCAACTGACATTAAGAAAAGATTAATGATAGCAAGGAAACTGAAAAAAAGCCGACTTATTTTTTCAAATATCTTTCAATTTTGAATTTCGAAAAAATATATATATGGCCTTAGAGCTCTTTGAATTTAGAGGACGCTTTTTTTTAAAAAACTAAATCAATTTGATAAATTATCAATAAGTAAAATTTTCATTTTGTTGATGATCTGATATTATTTTCCATTTTCGAAATAAGAAGTCGATCAAATTTTTCGGGACCTTTATAATTTTGCATTAAAATTGAAATTTAAAACGTGTTTTCTGTAATTGTTTTGACTTTAGACAAAAAATGAAGACAAAACTTGCTCAGAATTTCAGCAGAACTAATGTGTGATTATTTGTTTAGAAAAAATTGGGCTCAAAATTTTACCTCATAATCGGATCATTTTTGCCTTTTTAGTCAGCCAAAATTTACGCCAAAACTACTCGGTCGATCACTGACAAAATTGCGAGTAGTTTTGGCGTAAATTTTGGTTGAGGCAAAAATGATCTGATTATAAGGTAAAATTTTGAGCCCAACTTTTTCTAAACAAATTACACCACATTAGATCTGCTGAAATTCTGAGGAAGTTTTGTCATCATTTTTTTGTCTAAAGTCAAAACAATTAGAAAGTAAAGTCAAAATTGTTTTTGATGAAAAGCGAACTGTTCTCAGCAGTAACGAAAAGGGAAAAGAAAAAATTTCTTGGACGTCTTCTAGTTTTTTAAATTTTAAAGTTTTGATTTTAAAAATACCATAGAATTACACATTTAACCTTTCAATTTTGGGTAATTTAATCAAAAAAGTGCCATTCATAAGTGATTCTTGAAGTTCAAAGACCGTTAAAACTATATTTTTTCTTTTAAGCTCTTAAATTCGTTGACACCGAGTAAATGTTGGCTATGCAGCCATAATAAAAACTCTTTTTACTGAAAAAGGGAGGAGTTTGAAAATAAAATGAAAAAAGAAATTTGATTTTTTTCTGTTTTTTTTTGGGTCTCAGTTTATTTACTTGTGTCGTTCTGGTTGTATTCTTTGTGTTACCTCCTCAGCGACTGTTATCATTGTTCTGATTTGAATTTTTAAAATTTAATTAGTAAGTAATTCTAACCATAAGTTGAACCAATCAGATTACATCAACCGCCAAAATTGAACAAGCAAGTTTGAACCAATCAGATCACATCAACCGCCAAAATTGAACAAGCAATTCTGAGCATGTTGAACCAATCCGAACACATCAACCGCCAAAATTGAACAAGCATTTCTGAGCACATGTTGTACCAATCAGAACACATCAAGCGCCAAAAATTAACAAGCAATTCTAAGCATAAGTTGAACCAATCAGAACACAACCGCCAAAATTGAACAAGCAATTCTAAGCATTTGTTGAACCAAGTGACCTATGATTTCAGAGAAACCAGGAAAAGCTCCAAATGAATTTTTAGCTACTATTGAAATAGCATAAGGAAAGGCCAATTTTTTTTTCTTATATAGGTGTTGTTGGGCTACAAAGACAGTCGTGAGTTGGAAGTGAGAACGACGGGACTGCCAGAGGTTCTATCGGATGGAGAGGAGGAGAGTAGTCGTGGGAAACAGGGCTCCTTCATCTCTCTTTTCGCCACAATTGAGCCTCCTCTGGCACCGGCCGAACCAGTTAAGGAACAAGTAAGTGAGAAATGTCAGGTCTTTTGAGAAGCGATGGTGCAATGGTTAAGCGTTCCGACTTTCAATCAAATTACCGGTAGTTCGAGGCCCATCATGATCAGCGCTCTTTGTTCCAGGGTGAGGCAACAATTTTCAGCCAGAAAACTTGCCCAATAATGCATGTAGACCTTGAGCATGGCGTACAACTGTTTTCCGTAAAGAACTGTACAGCTCGTGTGTTGGTCTCTTTCCCTCGTGGATATATAGTCTTAAGTTTTTAAAAGCACCTATGATATAGATAAGAAAGTGTTCCGTCTGGTATGAACGCTGTTAAAGTTTTTGCGATGATAAACTAATAAACTAACAACTGATTTACAGCTCAGGATAAACTTGGAGTAGTTATAGTTACAATCAGGGATATCTTAAGATTTTCTCGTAATGGGGAGGGGATTTCCGATCTTTCCTACTAAAACACTTTAAAGACTATAATGTCGTCAAAAAATCTCCAATGCCAATTTAGAGCACTTTCGAAGGTTACGACGAAGCAAATCGCGCGAGCTCACAGTATCTATTGGAGCCATTCGAAGTTTAGGGGTTCTTTGGCCAAAATTGGAGGTTGTAAAGTAGTACCTAAGGTGGAACCTTTGGTTAGTGAGAATATCGAACTACTCAAGATGTCGAATCCCCCAACCCCGCCCTGGCAACAACTTCACATAATCATCCATTTAGATTTCATGTTGAGAATGAACGAATTACTTGATAGCGCCTGTCAGAGGATTAAATTTAGTGTTGTAGAAATAATTCAGGGCGGGGAAAGCCAAAGAATATTAACAGGATGAGATTAAAATGTGTTAAAATGTGGACCAAGTGAAAAATCTCCCACTAAATCAATTTAGCGAGGAGATCGTTCACTTGCTTAAAAGTAATATTTTTCAGCCAATCTGATTTGAGCATAGTACATGCAGGAATTACTGCTTGAATTTGCCATTTAACTTTAGGGGGGAGATTTTTCACTTGGTATACTTAGGGGGAGATTTTTCACTTGGTATACTTAGAAGGAGATTTTTCACGTGGTATACCTAGCGGAAGATTGTTCGCGTCGGCCTAAAATGAAATTATCTGTGTTTTTACGTGGATCATCATGTCAAGTGTTTGTTTGTTATTTCAAGACTCGGAAGAAACTCAATTTTGACCTTGTAAACAGAGTACGTATGTTCTATGCACCATCTAGGCTATCATTATAGATCAATTAGCTCTTCGTTAGATTATTAAATGCTATATTAAAGGTAGATTATCTAATATTTTAGCACTTGCAAATTTTTAGTGTTAAGTTCTTAAAACAAATGTAAAGTAATTTGTATTTGCAATTATTAAGAGTCGATGAACGTACTGAAGACTTTTTTATAGGTCTTTTTGATTTTTTCTTCAGGCAGTTTTTTTTTTTTTTTCTTCAGGAAAATATTTTTGAATGCTCAAAAAATATAGGTGTGCATTCACTCAAATTAATGCATTTATGAATGCACTTGGGTATATATCCACTTTTTGAGTTCAATTCAAGTTCATCTGCTGAAAGTTAGGTAACGTGGAAACGATTTTAGGTCCAAAAGTAGAATTTGATTTTTCACTTGGTATACTCAGAGGGAGATTTTTCACTTGGTATACCTATAGGAAGATTGTTCGCGTCGGCCTAAATGTTATTATCTGTGTTTTTACGTGGATCATCATGTCAAGTGTTTGTTTGTTATTTCAAGACTCGGAAGAAACTCAAATTGCAATTAAAAAAATTCGGAATAAAAATTCTAAAGTAGAAATTTTTTCAAAATAGGTCCGTTTTTCTGTTTACTTGCGTCCATTGACTCTTTCCCAACTGTCTGTTGACTATGTTGTAAATAAGTTCTTCATTATTTTTTATTACCTTAAGTATTTATTATTCGTTACCAGAATTGAAGTAATTAGATGTTAAATAGATAATGTACGTGGGAGCTCCTCATGTTAGATTGGAACCGCATGCATGGGCGGATCTGAGTTTTCACCAGGGGACGATGTATTTTAACATGAAGTTCTAGGGCATTTTTGGACGGTTGCCGCTTTTTCCTCAAATTATGTGAATATTGGTACCCGAGGCGCATTGAGACGAATTTTTAGGCTCGTTGGAGGAAAATGGATGTAAAATAATGGATCTACTAATCAATCGCACCCATAACCCAATTTCAAGATGGGGATTGTTTCGACCAATTAGAATGCAGCATAATTATAATTTCTTGTTATTTATAGGGGTGGAGATTCTTTTCTAAGTACCATGGTGGCAGTGATGGTTCCCCCCTTTTTAACTCTAAACAACTTAACACCCTACAATTTCACTCCCTACTTTTTGTTGCCTTAGCAATATAACCTCGCTACATTTTAAAACAATTTCTATGACTTAAATTGTTTTGAATTAGCACAAGCAGCTTTTTTAGTAATCATAAATGTTTAGCGAAAAGTCTAATTGAAAATAAATTACAAACCTGTAGATAAGAGTCTTAAGTAAATTGGGAAGACTCCTTTTAGCATGTATAACTAAAATAAACCAAGTTTTTCATTATGGTGCGTGTGTATATTGGTACACGAGGCGTATTGAGACGAATTTTTAGGCTTAGGCTCGTTGGAGGAAAATGGATGTAAAATAATGGATCTACTAATCAATCGCACCCATAACCCAATTTCAAGATGGGGATTGTTTCGACCAATTAGAATGCAGCATAATTATAATTTCTTGTTATTTATAGGGGTGGAGATTCTTTTCTAAGTACCATGGTGGCAGTGATGGTTCCCCCCTTTTAACTCTAAACAACTTAACACCCTACAATTTCACTCCCTACTTTTTGTTGCCTTAGCAATATAACATCGCTACATTTTAAAACAATTTCTATGACTTAACACCGTTTTAATCCAAAATGAAAAGAAAACTTACTTCAAAGGGGATTTCGGTAACCATCAAAGAATTAAACGAGAGAAACTTTTGCCATTTAAAGCCAGACAAATTTGCGCTACTTAATTCGCGTAAGTTTTGAATAGAAATGACCTTGCAAATGATTTCAATGAAACGTTTCAAACCAAAATGAAATGGCCTTGCCAATATTTTCAATGAATCATTCCAAAATGAACCAGAAACAAGCAATAGTTCAATGAACTTCAAAAGTCCGCAAATAATTAGACGTCCTTTGACTAATATGGCCTGATTTTCTAGACATTTTCAGCCGGTATAGAAATTTAAAAAAGGTTTAACTAATGCCAAAAGCCTTAAAATCATTATTTTTAGAATCATTCTCGAACTTAAACTTATGACCTGATCGCTTTGTCAGCTTTTTTTGAACTGTTGGCACATAAACGCAAAGCTAAAGGGTTTGCCAGCCCGTAGTCCCAACCTAGCATCCCGAAAATAAGGGCGATTGTCCTGGGAATAAATTGCTAAGGCACGAGTCATGTTCTTGCGTTTAGTTACGTTTCCGGGAGTCTGCAAGGAAACGTCTTTTTACACCAAAGACTTTAGTCAAGGTGTTATGGTATCGTGTAACGGGTTTTTTTTTGTTGTCTGTTGTCAAGTGTCGACAAATAACGTCCACAGTTATCAATTATCATGTGGGCTGGACTATATCGCGCTATGTCACGTGATTGCGTATGTTTGTTTCTTTATTTGTTCATCTTTATTTATTTAATTATCTGTTCTTCTATTTATTTAATTATGTTTAGTTTGCTTATATTTATTTATAATTTATGTATGTACATATTTATTTTTGTTTATTTTTATCACGTGTTTTGTTTATTTATTTAATTATTCTTTCTTTCATTTAGTTTTGCTTTTATTATTTCTGCGTGTGTATTGATTTAATTTATTTATTTTCATTTATTTATATTATGGGTCTGTTTGTTTGGTTATTTGTTCATATATATTTTTTCATGTCTATTTAATTATTTGTACATTTCACTTTTGCTTTTATTTATTTATTTATTTATTTATTTATTTATGTATTTATTTATTTATTTATGTATTGATTTATTTTTTTATTGCTTATTTATTTATCAGGTGTGTTTTGTTTATTTGTTGATATTTATTTCTATATTTATTTAATTATTCTTTCTTTCATTTAGTTTTGCTTTTATTATTTATGTATGTGTATTTATTTCATTTATTTATTTTCATTTATTCATATTATGGGTCTGTTTGTTTGGTTATTTGTTCATATATATTTTTTCATGTCGATTTAATTATTTGTACATTTCACTTTTGCTTTTTTTATTTATATATTTATTTATTTATGTATTCATATATGTATTTATTTATTTATTTATGTATTGATTTATTTTTTTATTGCTTATTTATTTATCCGGTGTGTTTTGTTTATTTGTTGATATTTATTTCTATATTTATTTAATTATTCTTTCTTTCATTTAGTTTTGCTTTTATTATTTATGTATGTGTATTTATTTAATTCATTTACTTTCATTTATTTATGTTATGGGTCTGTTTGTTTGGTTATTTGTTCATGAGATATATATTTTTTCATGTTAATTTAATTATTTGTACATTTCAGTTTTGCGTTTATTTATTTATTTATTTATTTATTTATGTATGTATTTATTTATTTATGTATTGATTTATTTTTTTATTGTTTATTTATTTATCAGGTGTGTTTTGTTTATTCGTTGATATTTATTGCTATATTTATTTAATTATTTTCTTTCATTTAGTTTTGCTTTTATTTATTATTCATGTATGTATTTATTTATTCATTTATTGATTTATGTTTATTTATTTTTGGTTTGTTCGTTCATTTGTTGGTTTGTTCGTTCATTTATTTATTTATTTAGTTAGCGTCTTTGTTGTTTGATTGTGAAATTTGATGTTTTACTTCTTAGCTATGTAGTTAAAAGCAAAAAATGATTTTCAATTTATTGTTCTGTTTAGGATATTTTCAGAAAGATCTGTATATCACCAATTAGCGTACAACGATTTACAGGGAACGCTGCCAACGAGATTTGTCCACTTGCTTTTGGGTTGCAGCTACATCAAAAATGATTTTAAATTTTTTATTTTAAAGATTTATCTATAGTTATATCTGTCCGGTAATTAATTTTCAAATTTGCTTTTGTATTTCTCAAAAAAGAATTTGTTGGAGCGTGGACTCAAGCCAAGTACGTGTTAAGCGCCCTTTTTTATTAATTTTTAACAAGACTGATTATTTTATAAACGCTGACAAATTTTTAATTACTGTAATATTGTTGCATTTATTTCTGAGCGAATGTTCGTTATCATAGCCCACGTCTGAGCAGAGCGATGTTATTATTTATATTGGTTTTCACAAATATATTTTTGCAATGTACTTTTTTCCGTAGTTCAAATTTATTGTAATGGTTTCTATAACACAATGATGGTGATATAATTTTTTTTTCAGAAATGACGTCCACTGTTTTGTTTGGCGATTCTATGTTAAAAGGATTTAACGAATACCTTATCAGACTTTCCGATACGTCGGTAATAGTGAAATCTGGACTGAAAGTCAGTACCATCAATGACACTCATGTCAAGGAGATAAAAGCCTTGAAACCAGCTCGCGTTATTCTTGCTGTTGGTGCAAACGACATGTGTCCCCGCCAACAAGATATTGTGTTACAACCAAGCATTGCCCATACCGATGCTTCTCTCGCGAGCTTGGCAAAGGCCACACTTGCTATGTTGATTATGTCACTTGCTTCTCCTCTTCGCGATGCTGGCTTTGAAGTCCTGCTCCTTTGGTAACATTTTCATAAAATGACTAATTCAGTAATAATAATAATGTACATTGTTCATCAGGTATCGGTTTTGCTGTTTTTTTAATGAAGTTTAGAGAAAAAATAACTACATTGTATTTTTAGTCCAATTGTTCGCAAGGACTTTTACCGTGAAATCCGCGCGTTGGATACAGCCATCAAGTCTTCAGATTGGTCATTTATTCCCGTTGGACTATTGCGCTACACACATTTATCTACCGATGGTGTTCATTTGTCGCAAATGGGCTGCCTGAATTTGGCGAAATTAATTTGTGAGAGAGTATCCTTAACTCTTTTGACATCTGCCGTGGTAAATACTTTTTGTCTATTCTATTTTTTTTTCTGTTGTATTCCACTGAGCACTTAAATGTCATATTTTTATTTTTGCAGCCGTTTACTATCAGCTCATCTTCAGTGTTTGGCGTCTCTCAAATTTCCCTTGACGTTTGCAATAAATCTGTTTTGAGCATAGCTGATTCCCTCTTTGCAGAGCTTTACAAATCATACAAACAGGAATCTTGGACACATGTCAACGGGCGCTCTGTCAAGTGGATTTCAGAGGTTCCATACTCATATGGAAGCGTTCGCCACCCGCCCAACAACTCTTGGTCACCACAGTTGTTGTTGTTAAAGACCTTGTTGGAGAAAGAACTCAAAGTTTCCTTCAACAGTGTCCTCATCAACATTTATTGTTCCCTCGAAGAGGTAATATCACAAAATACCGTCATAACAATTAGATAACATAGAAAATGTACTTTGCCTATCAGTATTTTTAGGGAGTTGGATTTCACGCTGACAACGAACGTGGTATTCCTGATTATCCAACCATTGCCAGCGTATCCCTTGGAGCCACCCGACGCTTTGCAATGAAAAGAAACGGAACCACGCGCTCTGAAGTTTCTGTTTTGTTGCCACATGGTAGCGTTTTTACCATGCTCGGAGCTTGCCAGAAAGACTGGAAGCACAGCATCTTGAGAGGATCCACTGCACCCGATGGATCGTTTGAGAAATGGAATGGCGTCCGTTTAAATTTGACGTTCCGTAATCAGTTTGACGCTGAACGTTGAAGTTTTATGTCATTTTTATTACTTGCCGGTTTTTGAAGGTTGAATTTGAACTTGATTTCGTGGAATACTTAACTGATATCTTTACCTGATTGAAGTTTTGTTCATGAATACCAACATTGGTACATTTTTCAGATCTGTGTCATGTCTTTGCAAGTATTTTTTTTTGTTTTTTGGATTTGTTTTTCGGATTTTTTTACTGCTACATACTGTCAATTCTGAGACTGCTTCACAATTTCTCAATATAATAAGACTAATAGTTTTTTTTCATTTTAGCTCTTTCTTGTAAGTATATGTGTAAGTACGATTTTTAGTTATTCCGGAGACCCATATGAGTCTACATGCCAATTTATACGATTGGCCGATTGAAACGACAGGAGGCGTTTTGCTACACATACAAACACAATCTTTTGTATTTTATTATAGCTATAGAAAATGATCTACAATGCGTAAGTACGACATTTAGTTCTACGATTGTTATTTCAGGTCCTTTGTCAATATTTCAGGCTCTTTGTCAATATAGCAAAATTTTGGTGTATACATGTATTAGTAAGATTTTTTGTTCTAGAACTGTTATTCTTCAATTATTAGTTGTTCAAGTTGTTTGGTTTTTGCTTCAGTTTCTATGCCTTCGGTGTATTGCGCGTAGCGCCTATGTTCAAAAAAAGCTGACATAAATTTCAGTAGCTTTTAAAATTTGAATTTCAATAATACGAAAGAATAAACAAAAATGAAATGAAATTTACAATGGTTTAGCACAAACTAGATAACGCTCTGAAAAAGTACAGATCAGTTTTGTCTTCGTAAACGGACATTATGTTTTGTACTCTTTCATTTAATACTCGATACTTTTTCTTTTTTGTGAACTTATGGCCACTCGATGCATCAAAAAAGTTGAGTTTTTGTACGGAAGCGTCTTTTTGCAGGCTACCCACTACTTTCCACATATTTGGGTGGGCTCCACTGAAATATGATTGAATCCCGAAATGCCATCCCTCGACAGCATTTGTTGTTCGAGCAATCCCCATCACGGCCGCATCTCGCTGGTTCCAAAGGGAGGGTGGGAATGAAACTTCACGGTTTGGCACCAAGCTTTTTATATAAGTAGAGCCGAAGTACAGACACAACTCGTCAATTTTCTCTATTTTCTCGGGTTCTAAGCAATTTCTGTCGCATACATTTTGAATTTCTTGAACAATCATGTCATAGGAATCGCCGATCTTTTCTTTTTTTTCAAATGCAAGGGATGGCAGCATTTTTAATTCGTTTCGTAGGTCACTTTCAGACCCAATTCATTAATTTTTCTCATGTAACTCTGGGAGAGATGAAAAAACAACCCGATAAATGTGCTTCGGGGAATGTTTTTTGGAAGGACTGAAGAGCAGCTTGCTCAAAATCTAACAAAATTTTTTCAGGCCGGCAGTTGGGTGCTAAATCAATTAACGCCTGCAGGAAGCGATTGTAGGTTTTTTCGGTTTTGTTAGGGAGGAAAGCGTAAATGCAAGCTGGCGCAATGTCAGATACACTAACATGAATTGAATAAAGCTGATAGAACATTTTTGGAGTAATTTTGAAAGTTCCATCGGCTAACCAGAAAGATGACTTCTCCAGAACTCTCAGCATTTCGGGGTCGCCGCACATATTGATTAGCTCATGATCATTTGATCCACTGTCATACCGGATAAAATTTTCAAAAATTTCAGGGATCTCGAAATTTCGCGCAACGGGGATGGGCGGCATATTTACATCTAGCTGCTTACGAGTGCGAGCAGCCGTTCGGATCAGTTTGTCTTTACTTGGGAGAGCAAACTGAGTAGCCAAATCCTTGGTAATTGGCAAAACCGCACTGGCAACTGCAACAGTCGGGGTAAATCTCTCGCTGAGATCTTTTATATGCTTTGACATTTCGGGCCTCCGATTTTCCCGCTGAAATGTCGTGGTTATGCTCTCCACGCGTCTCGATTAATTCGTTATTTTCAGTAATGGCAGTTGCTTGACAATTATGTGTTTGATATTTTGAGCGAATCCAGTTTTCTGTAAACTTATTTTTTCGCTTGAAATAAAATTCATGGCCGGACGCTATAAGAATTGGCTTGTTTTTAGATGAAACTGTGAACTCGAAAGAAGACTCAATCATAATGTGTTTATTGTGTTTGCGTTTGTTTATCACTTGAGTAAAGTATAAAGTGACTGTCAGAATTTAATTTTTGTCAGAATTTTTACGGCAAATTGTTTTGAATTAGCACAAGCAGCTTTTTTAGTAATCATAAAGGTTTAGCGAAAAGTCTAATTGAAAATAAATTACAAACCTGTAGATAAGAGTCTTAAGTAAATTGGGAAGACTCCTTTTAGCATGTATAACTAAGATAAACCAAGTTTTTCATTATGGTGCGTGTGTTAATTGCAAGATTAACTTTGGTGTGATAAGAGTTAAGATAAGAAATTCATAAAGCATTAATTTTAATAGTGAAATGACTAGGTGTTAAAATGTACTGTGTTAAACTGGAAAATAGGAGTTATATTGTTGTCGATTTAAATTGTTTAGTAGTGAAATGACTAAGTTTTAAAATGTACGGTGTTAAATTGTAGGACACCGGCAGTGATGTCCATTAAAAAAAAATTGAAATTAAAATTGTTTAAGAAAATTAAAACAATTGTTGGCATCAATTTAAATTTTTACGAAGCTATTTTAAGTTTTCTTTTGAATTTAAATTTTTCTTTAGTCTGTTTTTTAGCAGTTTTTCTGTCAATTTCGAGGACTTTTCGCAATTTTGTGGAAAGAATTCCAAAGCAATTTTTTTGAGCATATCTATTTGCTACAAAACTTCATCAAATTTGTGAAAATTTAGATTGTTTGTTTTTTCCGCGGAACTGTGAAATGTGAAATTAATTATCGTGAGTGTACTCTGGCGTCGGATCGAATATCACCGGAGCAATTTATTTTTTTTTTTCAATTTAAGTTGCTCGATTTAAATCAAAATTTTTCATTTAATTTGAGTGGGCTCATAATTTCAGATTTAAATAAATTGAAATTGAAATGAAAATTTAAATTGGTTTAAATTGGTTTTTAAATGGACAACACTGCATGGGGGGATTGTCAAGTAGATCCAAAATGGATTCAAAACTTTGAATCCCTGAGGAGGAAAAAGATTTAAACCACCCGACCGAAAAGCCTATCAGAATGCAGTTTCCGCACTTTCCTATAAAACTCTAAAGACTATATTGTCAAAAAATATTGTCAGAACGCATGTTAGCCAATCAGAATGCAGTTTTTGAAAATCTGAATGAAAAAATTAAACGTGGAAACCAGTTATTGTTGTACTATTGATTGGTTTAGGTTTTCGCGCATCGCATTCTTTCTTTCTGCCATAAAAATAGTCGGAATCATGACTTATAGAATATCTGATTTCTCTGCGCGCTTAGAATTTAAAAGCAAGTTGACATAATGTTTAATGATGACTCTTTTCAGTTCGAATCAAGAGAAGATCGGGAGTTGATCCGCTACGCACAAGAATGGCAGAGTGCTCTCTCGAAGGCGTTCCCCAAGAGGTCTTTTGTATGTATAGTTGTCGACATTCAAGGGCAGTCGGTGTTTGCCTCCAGATATGTGAATAAACTGGCTCCCCCTGAAGATGTGGCAAAGCCAATGGGCGATTTGGACGAAACAGTAAGGGAACAATTTTTTTCAGCTAAAAATAGTTGTAGGTGGCAAGGAATGCTAAATCAGAGCATCAAAACGTGTTGTAGAGGTTGTTATATAAGGTTCTTATGCCTTTTATAAAAGATTCTAATTAGATTTTTAATTAGATTCTAATTTAAATCTTCGAGAAATAGTTCGTTTAGAAGTTTATATATCGTTGTCAAATTATTGATTCCTTTCAAATCCCGTGTTTCAGGAGCGCGTGGCGCGGTTCGTGGCCAACATCCCCTTCGTTTCGGACAACCTTGCCTTCCCAGGAGTGTGTGACATCTGGAGTACTTGTGATGTAAGAAGCAATCTCTCATTATCATAGTATCTTCAAGTTTACACAGGAGGAGCTTGTGTGATACAATGAGTCTACTTTTTCTCATCTCAATTAGCACATTTCCATGTTCAATTTATTTTTCGCCCTTTTGAAACAGCCTTCATTACGTTATTAATGAAAATGCATTGTTGCCTGAATTGAAATTGAAGGTTGTGTACTTAGCTTGGCTTTATTGTGAAATGATTTGATAATTTTTCAAGAATCTATTGCTATCAGGGAGTTGGTCGAGAGATCTACTCCGGTCGCCCAGTTGTTTTTTATTTAAGAGAATCTTTACACTTACATTTAGCAAGTGTTGTTTACACTATTGGTATTCTTTTTTTCTAACCTAACTCGCAAATAGAAATGCTCATTTGGCGGCATTTTTGCTATAATCACGATCTGTAGCGTTGAAAATTTCATTGCATCTGTTTTCTGCTTAATTGTGGCTAGTTTTTGTGAAATGTTAATCGTACGTGGTTGAGTGGTTAGTGCGTGAGACTCATAATCTCTAGGTCGCAGGATCGAATTCGACACGTAGCTGTATTTTACTGATTCGAGACTTATTTCGAATTTTTTTATTTCATTTTAAAGAGCTGCTTTTTGTCGAGTTCTCGCTAGTGTTCGCGAAGCGCAGCTTCGCCTCTGTGTTGAACTAGTTTATGCAAAGTTTTAAAGAGTTCTGAACGTAGTGAATACTCTTATATAGGACTTGGTGATTTATTGTTCCGACCATCGAAAATGGGGAGGAACTTTGGATCCGGGTGTTTTAGATTGTTTCTTTATCTTCCACGCAAAAGCAACTACCACAAATAACCATTGGAATGGGTTGAGTGGTGTATCATATTAAAGCCTTTTCATGCGTGATTCGAACGACATTAAAAAAATTTCAAACGGTTTTCCCAGTGTTGAGAAAAAACCTGTTCATTATCAGAAAATTTTAAGCTAGGAAAACTTTATTTTACTGAAACGAAAACTCTTTAGCGCTTCCTAGGCAAAATTTTAGCTTCATTTAGCGCTACCTAGGCATAAAAATTTTCTAACTATATCTCAAAATTATTGTGAAAAACAGAATTCGAAAAGTTTTTTTTCCATTTTTTTATTTGCTTTTCATTTTTTGGGACCAGTGATGTCGATTCTGCTTAATTCACTTTTTCAGGCGTTTTTACAGTTTTATCATCACACCGCGTACCGCGCTTTGTAGATTATTTATGAATTTGGCTGGACCATTCTGTGCTTTCGGTTCTGTGCACAGCACAGAACCCGTCATCTTTGTTTTTGATTTTTTTAATCAGGAAAAAGTATTGGAACTTGTTCACGCTAAATTTTGATTTTTCGCAATTTGTTTTTTTTTTGCTTCTTTGTAAAGTAACTTCATTTGCTTTGTTGGAAGGAAGACAAATTCTACAGCCGTAATTTTAGAACAAAGTGTCAATCATAAATCATTTTTGAAAGTCAAAGAGCTTTAAGGCCATATATTCTTTGAAACTCGAAGTTGAGATTGTTTCTTAAAAAACAAGACAGTATTTTTTGTTTCCTTGTTTTCATGACTGTTTTCCAATTGTCTGTTGGCTGTGTTTTGAGAGTTTAGTTCTCATGCTGATGTATATGAGGTATAACTTTGCTATTTCGTCTAGTCTTCTTTCCACTTTCATTTCGCTGAAAATTTTCAACTTCCCATTGACAGTTGGTTGTCATCATCTTGGAAATCATTGTTCCGATTATTTTAACTTTGGCATACTAGTCAGAACAAAATGTTTTGAAAATTTTTTGTAGAGGATCTTTTTCTTCAGGTTTGTTTTCTTTTCCACGCAAAATCAGATATAGATTAACTAGAAGAAGGCTAGGCCGTAAAACTTTTATTCAAGTCCTGAAAATTTAATTTCATCACATTATTTTTCAAATTTTTTAGCGCCATGGTTGCATAAAACAATTTTTTTTTGGAATTTTGCGTTAAATTTATTTGAAAAACATCAATCACAAGTTTTTTTTTGGAAATTCGAAGGTTGAATATATATCACATTAAAGCCCTTTCAGTCGTGATTCGAACGACACAAAATTTAAAAAAAAATTTCAGGGTCAAGAAAATTTTGGTTAGTAGGCAGTTAGTAATTGCAAGAGCTTATTTAAGCCGTGAAAACTTAGTTTTACTCAAGTAAAGGTCGTTTTTGGAGTTTTTTAGCGCAGTAAAGGTAGTTTTTTAGCGCAGTTTTGGGAGCAAAAAGATTGAATCCCTTTATTCAAAAAGTGTTTTCCAATTGACCTATTTTACTATGACTCTCAAATATGCCTAAGTTCTATGATTTCGTTCAGATTTTTTTTATCACAACATATAGAAAAAACGACACCAATTTGAGAAAAAAATTGTGTATTTTTCTAAGACGGTGGTCGGAACATTCTGTGCTACTTGCACAGTAACCGGATGTCCTTGTTTTATTTGCAATCCTTGTTTTATTTGTTTTATGTGCATTGCAATGTGTATGTAAAGCTCGAGACAGTTCTCTAAAGTTCCTTAAGAGACGGAATCCAGGTCCGCTCAACAAAATATTCTAATTGGATAGTAAATTACTTAGTCGTGTGACTTTCAATGAATTAGATTATTGTTGGTTGAGTTTGCAAAATTTTCATGAGCTTGTTGTGCCTTGTTCACTGTTCATTACACCAATTAGTTTTTTTACACACGCGAATTGATTCCGGTAGATGTCAGATGTTTTTGTTTGAAAATCTGCCGTCAAAATGTTTTTGTGATTGATTAGTGATTTTCTCTCCTGTAAAGCGATGTACATTATGCTTCTGTGTTTAATCTGATTCAGTTTGCAATTTTTTGACTGTTTAGCAATTTATGGCGATGATGGCTGGCGATGAGGAGGAGCACGCGGTGTTGTTGTGCAACTACTTCCTGCATATGGGACTACAAGCATACCTTCTGATGGGCAATGCCATTCCAGAGGGAGTCACTGCATACGTCCTCTCATTTCACGTTAGTTTCATTTCAATCTGAATTACAAAAGTCAGAGATGACATGTATAATTTCAACGGATGACTTCATTAAAGTTTTGCCTCTTTGGAAGAAATAGTAGGTGGCTTGGCTTCATGCTCTTTCTGTTTTCATCGTCAAATGCCGTATTTTCTAACCTAATAACGTTCTGTTTGCTGCAAGTTGAATCACTAATCTGTCCTACAGCTACAGTGTATATATTTGCTCCGTAATATAGTGGTGATGTTTTTCATCCAATCAGGGCTTTTTCAGGGTCTTTTACATATAAAAGAGTTTTTGAGGAGTTTTAACAAAAGTAACCTCAGGTTCCTGATACTCGGCGACTTTTGAGAAAACTAAAACTTTCATTCTTCGGACTTGAACTGAAACCTGTGTCCGCTAGGATATGGGGGCGAGCCCTGAGCATTTTTCCTGGGGTAGATTTTTTTGTGATATTTTTAGTTTTTCGTGCTTGTTTTCCTGGTGTGAGTAAAAAGGTTTCTCGCGTGGATCGAACCCTATTCTTTGGTGAGTAGGACAAAATTCTCGGCCATGAGGGAAGTACAGATCTAGATAACAGTTGAATGCGAGTATTTCATTTTGAGAAATTTTATAATTTTGTTAATGGTTTCGTTATTTGTATGCTTGCATGTCTCGAGGTCAAGCTGGACGCAAACTCTAGCGACCTATAGTGCGACCAGAAAATATTCATCTGATCATTGATAATCCCGTGAGGTTCTCTATCTATTGTATCCCTGATTGTTTGGCCAACTTCAGTCAATCAATTCTTAGTCAAGTACTTTGATTTATGTGCCCTTTTTTGTTGTTATTGTTTAGGCAAAGTAATTTACATTATGCGTAAGGATGCGGTATAATTTTGTGAATGCGTTCTAACATACAAATCCGTTTGAGTTCCATGGTTGCTATCATAATCTATCTGTGAATCTCAGGTTGACCTCCAATACGTGGAAGCTTTGATAAATTTCAATAACGCAAATAATAAGAAAGTACACTTTTGGTTAATTCTCAATCAAGTATAAGAGATATGGGCGTTTGTTCTGACTAGTATGCCAAAATTAAAAAACTTATATGGGTTAAATTTAATCGAGCGTGGAGTTGGTGATGGAGCACGAAGGTTAACGTTCTGCTTGTAAATACTTGTATTTTTCGGTTGGTGGTTCCAATGGGCTGTTGTGAAAGATTTTTTTCTTGTTCCAGAGTGTCCTGCGCAACAGGCGGTCTGCAAGTAGAGATAAAAAAGTTCCATGCCGAGTTCTTCGAAAAGTTGCGCTTGCTGATTGTAGTAAAATAAAGGAAGTGAATTATGTCGTCGGTCAGTGAGTAAAGGATTGCTTTGAGGGTAAGGTTGCTAAGTGAGAGGCGAGATGAGTTTGTTCGTGAAAAAAGATAGCCTATTCGGGGAAACGGATAGTCTCAGGTTTTGATCAAGTTAAACAGCGTGCCGAGTGCCAACAAGGCTTTGCGGTTTGTAAATGCGTTGCCCAAACACTTGGAAAGGGCAGAATTTACCAGGAAGTTTCTCCGCACTGTGAGTTACAAGGAACATCGCGGGTTTGGACGCTTAATCTTCATGAATTTTTGAAGGGTGAGCTCCACAAGGGGGGTTGTTGAAATGCTGCAATGGAGGCTTGGTGGACGCAGACTCTTTCGTCGAAGTAGATGGAGGCGATAGTGTTCTCAAGACGCCATTAGGAGAGAAACGTTTTGAAACTCTTTTGTCGGGAAGGTCCGAGAAACTTTTGCTGGGAAGGCCTTGAAGCGTTTACTACATTAGATTACTTGTCCTCGCTTATTCTTGGATCTAGTTAGGCAATGACCTCCTGAACGTCTCGAGGATTACATCCCTTTTTCATCCAATCGGCGACTACTTTGCATGCCAACCTGCCCTTTGTGGCCAGGTTGTGTTACTTGTTTCAGCTAGAGCTCCTGCTTTAGGTACTGGCTGGGAGTCTTGTCAATTACAAGATAGGAGTTAACAAGGGTTGATAAAACGATGGCTGTTAAATACTCAATTGACTGTATTCTAAATAAAGAATAGCAACTAGGATGATTGACAACTGAACATATTGTAGCCCCTGATATTTTCGTATGGATGTAAAATTTAAATACATAGTAATTTAAATTTAATATGATAACTAAACCTTCAACCTGCCGCCTCAACTAAAACGATACAACAAACTTGAGTTTTAGGCTTATGGCCATCCCTCTCCCTGGGTAATGAGTTTTTGACTGAGTTTTAAAGTAAGGTTCATTTTCCTTCTCCCCCTGGATGTTTTCCTTTTTGTTCCGCCCCCTGGATATTTTCAATCCTGACTCCTCCCATTTTATCTACTGGCTTTCTTCTTCTAGTACTCCTTCTGGTTCCCGAGCTTTCACTTTGACTGCCAGATTCAACGTCTTCTTCTTGGCTACTATTCACAAGGCACTCTCTCGCAACTAACGCCGGACGTTCCTGGCTCCCCTTTACTTGTTTTTCTTGACCCCCTTTTCCCCGCTTCGCTCTCATCACTCTTGATTTTGCTTTTGCTCCCGTTCCACGTTCTGCTACTGCTGTACTGCCGCTTGGGCCTTGTCCCGCCGCAATCGCTTCGTGTCTCGCTAACACTTCTATCGGTAATCTTGCAGGGATAATATTTAATGGCTGGTAATCTTGACTATCCGAACTGTCGGACTCGAAGGTGGCTAATGGTACGTTCTGCATGGCCTTTGCTCTCTTTGATTTCGGGCTCCCGACTGCCCCTTTCTTTGCGCTCGATAACATCTCCTTGAGCGTAGCCGGCTTCCGTTTCTTGGGAAGGTTGGGTTTTGGTTTTACTGCCACTGCACTTTTCCTAAGAACAGATCCGTTTTTTAGCTTGATAGTATGTTCGGATTCAGAGATTACATTGGATTTTAATAATTTATACCGATTTAGGGTCTTGCTGGTGGTACGCTGATATAGGTCGCGTGCGCCTCCACTCCCCTGGATGTTAGGGCCAGTGTCTCCACTCCCTTGGATTTTCGGGGCAACTCCCGATACCTCTCCTGGACATGTGTCCATTTGCTGATCGCTATCAAGCGTGATAGGGGGCCTTCGTAAAGCTGGAGCGTATGTCAAATCGGACCTCTCCTCCCAATTCGAGTGCTGAGGGAATGCAATTTTACTCATCTCAGGATCATTTTCGTCTGAACACAAACATTTTTGTTTTAAGACGTTCTTCCAATTCAAATTTTTCAAACTTGGTTTTTTCGTAAGATTTCGTAAAACGGTGTTGGCCTCCCGGCCGTGGTGAGCTTCAAAAGGTGTTAATTTAGTAGTTGCATTTTTGGAAAATCGTAGGGCGCCTAGCGCTTTATCGACCATAGATTCTAGAGACTTATGCTCTTTTTCAGTCGCATATTTTAGGACAAAATTCTTCAAACTTCCTATTGTCCGTTCAACGGACCCCGTGCCTCGATGATCATTCACTGGGGAGTACATTAGCTCGATGCCTTCGTTGTTACAGAAGCTTTTAAATTTATTAGATGTAAAACATGATCCTTGATCAACGTGGATTTTCCGAGGTACTCAATGATGAGTTATGTATTTATCGAGGAATTTTAAGACTTTATCTGACTTGTTAGTGGTAGTAACCATTGCTGATGGCCACCTTGAGAAGCGGTTCGTAGCAACCAAAACATATTTCTTACTCTCATTTAAGTAATTTATTGGCCCCCAGAAATCCAACTGTATACATTCATTGGGTTCCCTTGGTTCAGGGACCTTCCCCATGTCTCCCTTGGGTAATAACGATTTTAGGTTCTTACCCGCTTCCGTGCATTGCTGACAGTACGTGGCCTTTGCTGCCAAACTGCGGTACATGTAGGGATACCAGACGTCACGCGCTGCTTCGTACATGTTTCTTTTACCGTGATGGTAATAATGTATCCGCGACTCAATTGGGACTTGTAATGGCAAAGGAATGACCAGCCGTCCATCCAACCACACACAATCGTCCCGTAATGACAAATCGTTTGCGTATTGGGCCCAGTACTTCCCAATCTTCAGGAGTTCTTCTTTCAAGTTAATCTTCTTCTCCAATGCTTCTTTTACTCGTACTAAGTTCACATCCGCCGGTATGTTTGAGGCAACAAATTCTAAATTAAATAGTTCTGGTAACGCTTGGGATTTCTTGATAACCTTGCAATCACGGGGAATGATAGACATAATTTGCTGATTCGGATTAACGGTAGGAAAAAGCTCGCCTGGAAATATCGAAGGTATAGAAAGTACTGTATTAATTTTTGAATCCCGTGTATTTTTAGTAATTGCAACAATTTCAGGGTTAATGACAGTTATTTCATCGCTACTCAATAGATTTTCATTTAATCTAAGCGGAGAGTTGATCTGAGGTTGTAGTATATTCGGAGAGTTAGTTTGGGAATCAATTCTAACATTTTCAATTTCAAATACTGGGAAAGAACAATTAGAGTCGCTATCCATTTTGTGTGAATTATTTGATGTAGGCCAATTTAACCGTCTTCCAAGGGAACAATATATAGAGCACACTGAATGTCCCTTGGATTTCTTTGATTTACGCGTTATGCAAATTGATCGTTTCCTATTGGTCGTTGTCTTCACGCATGACTTTCCGCCCTCAACCGTCGCTGTTTGTAGGCATGTTATCCGTTCTCGCTTTTGATTGGATGAAAACCGTCTAGACTGTTTAGAACCAGTTTTTTTTAATATCCTGATAATTTCGTTCACCAAGGGATTTTAAATCATTTGTGAAACCAAGGGATTTTCTAATTGAAGCGATTTTTGCCACGGTGAACAAATTATCATATTGACTTATCGGTTTAGGGGGTTCGCTAGGATGCCTTGACAAGTAATCTGCTAATCCGTTCTTGGCGCCCGGTTTGTGTTCTATTACAAAGTCAAAAGGAATCAGTCTGTCTAGCCAACGTGTCAGTCTTGAAAAGAGTGTTTTGTTTTTCTTGTTATTCCCGTTAAGTAATGAAATTAGAGCCTTATGGTCCGTGATAACTGTAAAGGATCTTCCTAAAATGTAGTTCCTGAAATACTCGGCCCTCCATACCACCGCCAGCATTTCAAGCTCGTTAGTGGAATATTTTTTCTCGGCTGCGTTTAAGAATCGTGATGCAAAAGATATAGGGCGCCACCCTTCTGTACCCAATTGCTCTAAAACCGCTCCAAGGCCATTATGACTTGCATCGCAAACAACTCTAATGTCTTTATGAATATCAAAATGTTTTAATTCAACTATGTTTGCTACCCCCAATTTAATGTTTTGGAAAGCATTTTCACATTCCGCGGTCCAGTTATATTCGTTTTTCTTGCTGAGAAGTGGCCTTAATGGAGCTGACATCTCCGCTATCGCTGGTAAATATTTATGCAAGCTGTGGATTGAGCCCATAAATGTTTTCAATTGAGTGACTGTTTTAGGAGCCTTTAATGCGTCTATCGGCGATGTTTTGCGTTTAAGCGGCGTAACCCTCGTTTCGGTTATACAATGACCAAGCCACTCGCATTCTCGTTTCGCAAACTCGCATTTTGGTAATTTCAGCGATATGTTTTCGTGGTTTAGTTTCCTGAGGATCTTTTCAACCAAGGAGATATGTTCTACTTCCGTTCCCTTGGTTGTAACCAAAATATCATCGATAAACGCGTTCGCTTGTGGGAATTCGTTCAAAATTGAGTCCATTACTCGTTGGAACTCTGCCGGCATGGACGTTAGCCCGTAAAACCCTGTTCGGAATCGGTATGTTCCTGTCGACCGTCCGCCCACCAAAGAAAAGTTACAGTGCACGCTTGTTTCTTCACTAAGCGGTAGTTGCCCATACGCGTACGTTAGATCCATCGTAGTAAAGTACACCTCTCCTTGTTTTTTCTCGGAAATAAGTTGTCCTATTGTATCTACAAGTTCTTCTATATTTGGCATTTGGTATTTGTTTTTATGAACTTGTTTATTAAGCTCTCGAGATTCCAATGCTAACTTTCCGGACCCGTCTTTTTTTACGGCGATGACGATCGGAGAAACAAAATATCGATCCAAACACTCTTTCAACTTTTCTATATGTCCCTGGGTTAATAGCTTATCAATTTCCTTGTCCACCTTTTCTTGGAGCGTTACCGGCACTCTCCGTCCCTTCTGCTGCACTGGTACAAGATTTTTGAAAAATTCTGCTTGAACCTTGTAGTTCCTAATTTTTCCAACTCTAGTAAAAAGTTTTGGGAATAGCTTACTGAAGTATAATTGCCATTGATCCATCTGCTCATCCTCCGGTTCGTCGTGCCCCTCATTGCATGAATTGTCTTCCGTCCCCTGGATATTCATTACTTCCCCCCTTGGATCTGCTTGCATCAACTGGAGTCCGAGTTTCCCCATCAAATCACGTCCCACGATGGATGGTCTGGTCCCCCCAATGACTCGGACTTCTGCTTTCGTCTTCCAGCCGTTTGATGCTAACTCGAGTTCCATTCTGCCCAACATCTTGATCCGATTGTTACTGTAATCCCGGAATTCGTCATCGTCAGTGTCATCCTGTTTTAAATTAATTCCCGCTCTTCCCACTGTTCTCCTCAAATCTTCCAATGTTAAAAATGGATATCGGCGATCCACTGTCGATCCAAATGTTCATCGGGTGCCCATTAATGTATATTTTGAGTTTAGGTCCGGCAACTTTCAATACTGTTTCCTTCTTCCGTCTAATTGCCATAACCATGTAGTCGTCTGAACTTTCTGATGACCAGCTGTGGTGTTCTCGTTTAACGAAACCTACTGAATTTGCCGCAGCTTGGGGCCCCACGTCATCCGAGGGGGTATCTTCTTCCTCGAATAGCTCATCCCCTTGGATTAATCCAACCGGTTGTCCCCCCTGGATGGTCGTTTTCCCCGGCAAGTCCTCTCAAAGTGCCCAATCTTTTTGCAAAAATTGCATGTGACGGCTCTTGCTGGGCATTGTTGTCGGTGTTCTGGGGTGAAGTTCGGTTGCTCGCAATTGTAACATCTTCGCTCTTGCATTCGATCTTGTGTTCGACCTCCTCCACGATTTGGATATTGGCCCCGTCCCCTTGGCATTCCTCGTCCCCTGGATCCACGAATATTGCTGATTGGTTCCGTTTTGATCTGCAGGGAACCCCCTGGCGATGGATACGCCATTTCGTGGAACCGGATGCGACGCCCTTGTAACTCTTTGCGTACTTGTCTCCTCTTTCATATGACATTGCGATTCTCAATGCTTCCTCCGGGGTTTTAGTTTCCCTACACAGCTCGTTCTGCGCGTCCCTGTTCCTCATGTTGAAAATAAATATGTCTCTCACAATTTTCCGCTTCTGGGTGCCCAAATTGCATCTTGCCGCCATTCCACTAAGTTCTGCATAGAACGATTCTAAGCTTTCACCCTCCTTTTGTTTCCTCGACAACATCTGGTACATCTCGTACGTTTCGTTTCGCTCTTTCTAAAAAAGAGCTACACAGGTATCCAAAAAACGTGGGTATCGTATTGTTTCCATATTTAAATGTGGATGCTGGTTATGCAAAGCTCTCTGTCCCTCATGTCCCAGGCATAAGTACAGATTCGATATCAGTGTACGTTCACCTTCTGCCCGTGGTTTTCCACCAATGTCACCCAGGTCAGTAATCTGTGCTTCAGTTAATGTCGATGCAAAGTAATACTCCGACGAGACTAGTCCAAGTTTCGCCACCATCGCCCAATGAAATCTTTGTTTCCAGTGTTCCCATAAGCGTTGTGGTTCCGCCTGATTCGGAGGCCAGAAGGCCACAATTCCAAGGGGGTTTTTCCCCCCACCATCCACTGGCTGCGCCATAACAAGGGTTGATAAAACGATGGCTGTTAAATACTCAATTGACTGTATTCTAGTTCGCATAAATAAGAGAGTGAACTAGAGGTCAACACATAACAGCTAGACAGTTCTAAGTTGATTGACAGGCAGGTACCAGACTCACACTTAATTATAGTATGAGAACTCTCAGAGATAAGTAAATAAAGAATAGCAACTAGGATGATTGACAACTGAACATATTGTAGCCCCTGACAGAGTTTGGGCACGGAGTTGTCGAAGAAGCTCGCGTTCGGTGCGCGCCGTAGCGAAGCCCTGGAGTTTTTTTGAGAGCAATGATTTACGCGTTCGCAAAGTTGGTGAGGTTTGAGAAAGAGAGGGGATCATCTGATGCGGTCGATTACGTGAGAACATTGGCAGTGCGCGAGTCACATGTATGTTTCAAGCATTTTCACAAAAGCAACACAACCAAAGCTCTTACTATATCACGACACTCACATCGTGAGCAAAACAAGGAAGAACACAAAAAATTGCGCGAAGTACCGAGCTGCTCCCGGCTAGAGAAACAATGAAAATTTGATACTGACCTGACCAATTAACTTTTGGGGACAGGAAGCTCAGCAACTTCAAATACTCGCGCGCGAACGACGATTTCTTATAACAGCAGCAGCACGAAGCGAATTGCTTGGTCGCGCTTGCCGAAGCTGAGTATTTGACGATGCTACGCTTCCTGCCCTCAAAATTTTATTAGGCAGATTAGTATCAAAGTTCAAGTGTTTCTTTAGCCATGCGCAGACCGTTATTTCGAGCAATTTTTTTAACGTTTCTTTTTTCTCTATCGCTCACAAAGTAAGAATTTCAATTCTGTTGCTTCTATGAAAATTCACGCTGGTAGTTGGGTCAGTTACTTTTTATTAGTAGAAGTCAATTGCGCAATGCGCAAGCCGCATTGAGTCGTCTGTCCAGCTGGTCTAAATGTGAGTCTTTGCTCAATTTTGAATGAAAATTTAGTTTGTTCGTATCTTGTGTTAGTGTAGAGTGTGACGAATCGAGGTTAATCAGTACTGATCAGGTATTTATTTCGTCGGTATCAATTGTTTTTTTTTTCTGATGGCTTTTTCGATTTTTTTGTTTTCGTAGAAAAAATTGGCAGTCTGAATGAGCGTCTTGGTTCAAAAAATAATCTGTTTTGGTTTTTTTCTAGTTGATGGGTCGTTGCGCGACTAGGTCATATTTTTAATAATGGATTAGGGATTTTATCGTTGGGCTGGGGTTGTTGACGTGCTGATGATTTTTGGTATGCTATGCTAAGCTTGTTGTTAGGAATTATCTTCTTATTTATCTCAGTCTTTTCTCGGTTCTTCCATAACGTTCTGTTTTCTGCAAGTTGAAATAATAATCAGTTCTACAGCTACATCGTTTATATTCGTTCGCTACGATATATGATGTAATGAATTTCAAGCACTTACAGTTTTTTCGGGAGCTTTTATTTATTTAGAACTTTTAAATGAATTTTCACAAAAAGAAACCCTATGTTTCTGATAATGTTTCGATTTCATTTCAAGTTCAATTCAAATTCTCCCGCTTCCTTCTGTTAATTGACTGTTTATTGGCTATGTTTGAAATTGGAAGAGCTAAGAGATGCCGTGCCAATTTCAGTGAAGTAGCACACTGAAGCGTATTCAATCGTGATTCAAAACTGCAATGAAAATTCTAAGAAAATTCTTTTAGTTTCGAGAAATCCAGTTACATGTACATGTAGCAGGACCAAACGAAGCAGGCAGACCAGAAGTGGCGCTGTCCAAAACGTTGATTAACTTTTGATTTCCTGGTGAAGAAATAGCTTGTATTTGTTAGTGGTAAAGCAAGATCGCTTTTGTTTTAATGCGGTGTTTTTTGCATGGTTGTTTCTGCACTTGTGGTCTTTTTAAGGAACCGGTTCGTCAGAGTCAATTTTGGTCCCTTTTTTTGCAAGGTCTTTTTTCTGACGAATTTTATCTCTTTTCTGATTTACTTTTCGAAGTCTTCCTTTGTTTTCAGGGTGATCGTCCTAAGATCTGGAACCCCTCGACAGGAAGTAGTTATGCCACCTCTGACCCCTTCTGTCCTCTGCTTAGTGTTGGAACTCTCATCAGCAATTCAAATGTAAGACCACTACATACTACTACCCTTGACTCTAAACAAACTATTTGAATAGCATCTAAATCCGTGTCGCCCATGCATGCCAAGCAGCACAGCTAATCATCTGTGTTACGCAACTGACTATACACCAATGGACCATATTTGGTGGTTAATCTGTACCAATTCGCCCATCTTTTTTTAAATGAATGTTTTGAGTTCTCTTTTGTATTTATAATGCGGAGTAGATTGCGTTGTAGTGAGCCTCCCCTCTATCCAACTTGTTCCGAAAACGTCCTGCTTTTTGAACACTGACAATTAGCATCTTGATTCCAAGGAATCGCTTTAATTTTTAGGAAGATCAAATTTATGATGATTAAGTACTAAAACATTGTGGTAACGTGGTCATAAAATTTGAAGTTGATAGCCCCACAAACAGTGGTTTTTGTTTATGGGTCTCTAAGTTGCTGGGGTTTTAAGGCAAAAGAACAGGACATAGTAATCTATAGTGATAATCACATTAGCGGGTGAGCACAATTTTATCCTATGCCTTGCAGGTTCTACTGTGTTCGTATTGTAGGTGTATGCGAATGTGCAGGCGTTCGATGAGCCCTACAGAGTGGACTTCAATGTGGCTGATGAGAAGAAGTGGCGGCCATTCTTCGGGGCGAAATTCAAACCTGAAAACCTCCCACTAGCATCTGTACAGGTAGATGATTCTACTTTTCTAAAAAACTCAATTTCGTTGCTTATAGTCTCTTAAAAAAACGAATTTCAAAGTAAATAAAATTAACAAATTGTCGAAACTGGTGACTAAATTCTCCACGCCTAGAGAAGACTGAAATAGATGTCTTCAATGTTAGCTGTAAATTTGTTAGATGCTTTGTGTTGACCATCATAATGCTACTATTCGTGATGAATTAAGGTTCATGATTTTATTAAACAGTTTGACTGCAGCGGTTGCAATTATTGAAATAAATGTTCAGATAAATTTATTTAAGATCATAAAAGTACATTTTAGCCCATTCTTGTTCCTTTTTTCAGCCGGAGAATTTGGTCTACGAAATAACAGAAGAGGAAAAACGACTCGAGATCCAAGACAGGTGCGTAGTAACAATCTATTGAATTGATTTTGTCAACGTGAAAAATATTTAGCTTGAAATTTATATGCGATTTTTTTTGCTTCATTTTGCCACTACCTTGTAGTCAGGTTAGAAATGGGCTTATACAGATACATGAAAGCATATGAGAAGTAGTAGGTCAGTAAACCGGAAACAGGCAGCCCAAGTTAGCAAAACGAAAATTAATTAACCTGATCAGTAAACCGAAACTTTTCAAAATGTGCTCAGTAAACCGAAACTTTTTCAGAATGTGCTCAGTAAACCGAAAAACGATTTTTATCATAAATCAACAACAAATTGGGCTTATACTACCTAAACTGAATTAATGCACTCAAATAGTTGATTTTAGTTTTCAGATTTCCCAGCGGAATAAAGCATTTACTTTTTGATCCAGTTTTCTCCAAATGGGTTTAATTTATCAAAAAAAAAGTCAATTATAGTTTGTTCTTTTAATTTAAAGAGCTTTAAGACCATAGATATATTCGAAAAATGGAAAATGTCGTTTCCTTGCGTTCATTGACTTTTTTCTAACTATCTGTTGACTATCTTTTACGTCATCGTTATGTTCACATTGACAGTTCGGCTAGTGTTACCTGACTTTTGAGCTTTCAGATTGTGTTTAGTTTATTCTAAAAGAGGACAAACTCCTCTATCGAACAGCAAAAGTGTAAAGGTCACAAAAATGTGAATGACTTCTAGTTTAAAAATAGGACTTTATTTTTTAAGATTAATGAACGTAGTGAAGTCTGATATAGATAGGTCTTGCTGATTTTTTTCATTTTTTTTTTCAGGAAAAATCTTAGAAGAGTATGTTTTCGCTCTTTCACACACGTTTTTTCACGACAAGGCATGAATGAAAAGTGAAATATTAGAACGCTTGAATGAAACAAGAAATCATTTGCATAGTTTCGCGCACTTTTCCTTTTCCGGGCGCTTTTACAATTTTCCGGGCTCTTTCACAATTTTCCGGCATCTTTTCCTTAGAAAGAGCAAAAACATACCCTTCAACAGTTAGAACATAGTTGAAGATGGCCTCGGGCAAAAGAGCCGCCATCGGGCACTTCGTGCCCTAAGGACGGGCTCTTTTTCCCTCGGGCATCTTTCAACTATGTTCTAACTACTACAAAGTCGCTAATAACTATAACTACAGATGTGCATTCATACATATTGATGCATTTATGGATGCATTTATGTAACTATGCTCTTTTTGAGTTCAATTGAAATTCATCTGCTGAAATTGACGTAAATAGCATTCTCCAAAAACGAACGTGGAAACGGCGCGAAAAAACCTGAACGATTTCTATTTCGAAAGTGGAATTTAATTTTGAGGTTTCCAGCGGAATAAAAACTGTACCTATTGATCCAGTTTTCTCTAGTTGGGTTCACGTTATCGAAAAAGCGCCAATCATAAATTGTTCTCGAAATTGAAAGAGCTTAAAGAGCATCTATTTTTTCTTTGAAATTCGAAAGTTGAGTGTTTTTAATGTTTACTTGCGTTCATTTCTCTTTTGCAATCTTCGATTGGCAATGTTCTGGATTCCCAGCGGAGTAAACATTAGCTTTTGACCCAGTTTCCTCGTAATGAGATAAATCTCCAGCCAGGAATTATTCTTGAGCTTTTGAGAGTGATGTATTTTCTTTGAACTTCGAAAGTAAATTTGATAAGTATCGTTTCTCATTGGCAATTTTTTAAGGTATCCGTGGTCCAATGAACTGGCTCAGTGTTTCACTATAACCCAGTGACTTGTGTGTTCATTACCCAGCTTTTGCGAGGTTTTTAAAGACTTATTTTTTGTATTTCGTTGAATTTTAGAGCCCTTTCTTGCCGTTTTTAATTGTAAATGAGCGTGGTGTTAAGTAGGCCTAGTAATTTTTTTTGCGGTTTGACTTCTAAATTTTTAAAGGTCAATTTCATTTGGTAAAATGGAAGTTACGCTCTCCGATTACGAAATAAAAATGTCAAAACGTGAACGACAAAACCTGATCGATTCAAATTACCAAATCAGAATTACCAGCAGAGTAAAAAAGTTATCTTTTGATTCATTTTCCTATTGAACCCAATTTCGTTAATTTGATGAAAAAAGTTAATAAAAATTCTTGTAAATTCGAAGCTCTTCAACGTGATATATTTTCGGTATTTTTTTCGAAAGTTTTTTTTCGACTGTTTCCTGAGTTCTGTGACACTTTTCCAACATGTCTGTTGACTTTGTATGTTGCTCGTGTTTGCAAAATGGAGCTGCGTAACTGTGTTTGTTCTCCCTGTGTTTGTAGGATTGAGAAGAATGTGCGTGACAAACTGATGGAGTGGAGGGCTAGATTTGTGACTAGATGGAACAGACACTGTCAAGTCAAGTTCAGAGATCTGCTGCCCAAACTGGAGACCAGCAGGTCATCCCAGAACAACCAGAAACACCAGGAGTACCTGAAGACTCTACTAGACCAACACCAGGTATTACACCAATCCATTTGGATTATCGGCTAAGCTAATAAACTATAATACTACTGGTTGTTTGTCACTAGGGTTACTACTTGTTCGGTCCAAAACGGGCGCTAAAGTAGAAAAAAGCGTTCTTTTATTAGCGGTGGTTTTTTGAAACCTTGGTCGCTTTACTCTTTTAAGCTGTGCCGAAACACTAGAATGACCAATTTAGGCAAATTTTATCGGTGAAGGGGGAGGGGACCAGCAAAAGAGCTACATTCTTTTAATGGATATGCGCGTTATGATGCGCGAATTCCTCTGTGATTGTGTGTATATTTGCAGGTGAGTGGCTTCCCCCTGAACATGCCGCTGACCACAATGCAGGCCATACTGGATGAAGTGCACAGCACTGGGGTCCATTTGGCACCCGGCAGTGACGTTGAGTTCGCACTGGCCGTCTATCTCCACCCATACCCCAACAACATATTCTCAGTGTGGGTCTACGTTGCTTGTCTCAATAGAAAATCAACAGGCACACAACAGTCATGAAATCATCTGAAAGAAAAGGAAATCACGTGGAAATAATTTCTTTCATGTCACTAAATATATATCACAATGATCAAAACTCTCCTTCTGTTGTTAGATCGGCAGCTTCAATGCTTGATTATTTGAATTGAAAACCTTAGAATAAGAAAGTTTGAGCTTGAAAAAGAATATTGAATGTAAATTTGAAATATAATTTGAGGCTCAATCTCATTTATGTAAAAATTTGTTTGTAATATATATTTCTGTAAATATCCTATAGATTTAAAATTTGAAAATTCCTCGCAATTTTAAAAGTTGTCTAATTGTAAATAAATGTATATAGTTAAAAAACTTTGAAAAGCCAGGTGATAAACTCGTCGAGTTGCTTTTGTGTAAGAAGTGATAGGAACGTAACAGAAAAATGAAAACGGTAGAGTGTTAACCAGATAAATGATGAATGAACCTAATGCATTGACTCATCTTATTTAAGAAACTTTATTTGTTTTCTCAACCCAGAAAATTGCTTTAAAATGTTCGTTAGCCAGTGCCTGTCATTAAGTCTTCGCAAAACTAACTGTGAAACTTTTTGAGCATGTGTAGAAATTCAGTGTTCCACTTTTGAACAAGCGTTGAAATTTGAGTTTTCTGACTTTATTTCTGATTTTTGATTTTTTTTTTGCGTTTCAACCAGAGACTAGTACGTTTTCCAAAATTGGCAAAGAAAGAGGAGGAAAAATTCAGCTTGACCTGCGTGAAACTCTTCAAACTCGTTTTTCCAAAATTGATGTGAGTTAGATCAAAACGTGAGGAGAACAGAAGTTGCTTTGAACTTAACAAAAGTTATTATGGTGAAATCTTTTTTGCAAAATTCGGACCCAAATTTACCCCAAAAATGGCTTAATCTGTTTTTTAAGGCTATCGATAATTACGCTAAAATATCCAGTAAATTGATAAAAAAAATTAGATCAACAACGCTTGAAAAAATAAAACTTCCAAAACCTTGCGCAAATTTTTGATTTTGGTTTTTCAGCAAAAATTTTGAGTTTCGCACTTCAAAAATGTTTTTTTTTCTGGCTATCTCGCAAAAATCAATTCTCCCTTACTGTTTTTTGGTGAATTTTGTTTTTGCAAAATTTGGACCCAAGTCTACCCCAAAAATGGGTTACTCTGTTTTTTAAGTCTATCGATGAGTACGCTGAAATATCGAGTAAATTGGTTTAAAAATAAGATCAACAACGCTTGAAAAAATAAAACTTCCAAAAACTTGCGCAATTTTTTGATCTCGCAAAAACCAATTCTCCCTTATTGTTTATTTGAAATTTTTCAAATCCGAATTCCCTTCAGCTGTAAAAAAAAAAAAAGGCTTCTCAGATAAAATTATTTCATCAAGGACGTAGTTCAGACTCGTATACAAATCTTGATGATCTTCTTGTTTTTTTTTTTGTAGGAAAAACTTGTTCATGCTCAATTTTTTTCGTGGTGTGACTTTGAGTTAATGAAGCGTGGTTTCCCCTGAGTTTGAATAAAAATAACCTCGGCTCTGGCAAGTTCGAAACACAAATCGGCCCGACTGCCTTGTCTACAGGTTTTGGATCGATCAAAGGGTCGGCAAACGTACAGTGATGATTTAGTCCAGACCGAGATTGACACTTCAAACTCGTTTTTTCAAAATTGATTTGAGGTAGACAAAAAGAGAAGAGAACAGAAAATGAATTGAACTTGACAATTTAGACCGAAGTCTCCCCAAAAATGGGTTACTCTGTTTTTTTAAGGCTATCGATGTGTACGCTGAAATATCGGGTAAATTTGTTTAAAAATTAGATCAACAACACTTGAAAAAAAAATTTCCGAAAACTTGCGCAATTTTTTGATATCGCAAAAACCAATTCTCCCTCATTGTTTATTTGAAATTTTTTACATCCAAATTTTGTTAAGCTGTAAAAAAGGCTTCTTTAGATAAAATTATTTCATCAAGGACGTAGTTCAGACTCTCATACAGATCTTGTTGATCTTTTTGTTTTTTTAGGTAGGAAAAAATTGTTCCGGCTCAATTTTTTTCGGGGTGTGACTTTTGAGTGAATGAAGCATGGTTTCCCACTGAGTTTGAATAAAGATAATTTCGGCTCTGGCAAGTTCAAAACACGCATCAATCCGACTGCCTTGTCTACAGAATTTGGATCGATCAATTTTAAGAGTCGACAAACGTACAGTGATGATGTAATCCAGACCAAGATTGACACTTCAAACTCATTTTTCCAGAATTGATGTGAGTTAGACAAAAAGTGAAGAGAACAAAAAGTGCAATGAACTTAATAAAATTTATTATGGTGAAGTTTGTTTCGCAAAATTCGGTCCCAAGTTTACCCCAAAAATGGCTTATTCTGTCTTTTTAAAGTTTTCGATAATTACGCTGAAATATCGAGTAAATTGATACAAACATTAGATCAACAACGCTTGCAAAAAAGTTTCTAAAAGCTTGTGCAAATTTTTGATTTTGGTTTCTAAGCAGAAAGTTTGTGTTTCGCACTTCGAAAGTGTTTTTTTTTTGCTATCTCGCAAAAATCAATCCTCCCTTACTGTTTTTTGGAAGTTTTCAACTCCGAGTTTTGTTCAGCTGTAAAAAAAAGGCTTCTTCAGATAAAATTTGTTAATCAAGGACGTAGTTCAGATTCTTATACAGATCTTGATGATCTTTTTGTTTTTTTTGTAGGAAAAAATTGTTTCGTCTCAATTTTTTTTTCGGGGGTAACTTTTGAGTGAGTGGTGAGTGGTTTCCCCGGCACCCGGCAGCTTCCATTCTTCATTATTCGATTTGAAAAATTTAGAATTGAAAAGTTTGAGCTTGAAACAGAAAATTGAAAGAAAACTTGAAATAAAATTTGAAAATCAATCTCATTTAAATAAACTTTTTTTGTAAAATATACTTCTGCAAATATCATTTAGATTGAAAGTATCTCGCAATTTTGAAAAATCTTTTTTGTAAATAAAACAAATAACTTTAAAGAATTTTCAAAATTCAAGGATTACATTCATCAAAGTCTTTTTGTATAGGAATTAATAGGAACCTAGAAGACAAAATAAAAACGGTAGAGCGTCAACCAGATAAATGTTAGTTGAACCTAATTTTGACTCATTTTAATTGAGAACCTTATAGATTCTCAACTCAGAAATGTGCTCTAAAATGTTTATTAGCCAGTGCCTGTCATTAAGTCTATGCAAAACCAACCGTGACACCTTTTTGAGCCAAGTGTAGACATTTAAAGTTCCACCATCAAACAAGCGATGAAATTTGAGTTCTTGGGTTTTTTCTGATTTAAATTTTTTTTTTGCTTTTCAACGAGGGACTAGTACATTAACGTGAATAAAAACTGCGTCTAAGAGTTCATATACGTTTTACGGCGGTATGAACGGGCTATTGTGGGAAACGGGAAAAAAATAATCTAATTTTGAATAATTACAATCTCGGCTCTGGGAAGTTCGAAACTGGCACCCGTCTGCCGTATCTACAGATTTTGATCGATCAATTTTAAGAGTCGAGAAACTTATAGTGATGATTTAATCCAGACCAAGATTCCTCGCAATTTTAAAAGTTGTCTAATTGTAAAAAAAGGTATTTAATTCAAAAAGTTTGAAAAGTCAGTTGTTATACTGATCGAGTTGCTTTTTTCATAAGCAGTGATACATAAGAAGTAATAAGAAGTGAAGAATGTAACAGAAAACTTGGTCTTGGGCGCTGTGGACGCTAGAAATGGCGGGATCGTATATTTCCCAACTAATAATAGACTCGGTAGGAAAAACAAGTCAGCAATCGAATTTGGAGCACCGGAAAAATTTATCTTTGTCAATGCACCCGAGTTTGATAGCGTTGATTTCGAAGACAAGTGCAAATCTCAGTGAATACACAGAACGCCAAACGATTCTCACGAGCAAATGCAAGCAGAGATATATATGACGTTTATTATTTGGTTCATCTTTTTTGTGGGTGAGGGTATGTGACTAAAGATTTTTGTTTAAAAATTGATGCTGAGGGTATTTTGGGGTGGTTGCAAGTGTTGCTAATTGTAGTTTCAAGGTGGGCTTCAAATTTTTTTTACAATTTTTTTGTATCTTGGTTCATAATGATTACAAACTTCTATGCGCGTACTGCACTTAGCCTGGAGGTGAAGAATACGCCTGAGACGGTAAAGTTATTGGGTTCAAATCTGAGCAGCAACTGTTTACTTCTTTAACTGGAAATATTTCTTTCCGAAAAATGTCGATCTATTGTGTATCTGCTCATGTTTCGTCGGCTTAGTTGACACATGGTAGAATTAATTTTTCTGTACGCATTTTTGGATATAGTCGCTTTAAGTCTTTTGAATTATACCAGCAATTTTAAGTTTTACCAGCCTTGATTTCGTATATTTTGCTGTCAAGTAAAATAACCAACCTAAGAGGGAGGGAAGACATTTTATGGACACATCATATAGATATACACTACACATATAAACATATCAGTTGCTGCAATCTAATCTGAATGATAGGGACTACTAAAGAGAAAAGAGAGAGCTATGTTCGTTACAAATTGATTCAGGTTGTAACAAAAAGAACTATGCCAAGTAATAAAGCTATGGCAAACTTATTTAATTTTCAGACTGAACTTTACAATTTCCCTCAATAAAGATTAAAATGGGTGAATATGTGGGTTGTAAGAAAAAGAAAGGATATCCGGAACCAAAAAGCAATCAATACATGCATTTGAAAAGTGACTTCTAAAGAGCAGCTGGTATACGAGTACTGAAAAAATAGTGTATCACGGTTAAGCAAAGTTATGTTTCTTGGTTGCTAAAAAGAACCTAATTACTAAAACAAAATAAACTTGTAGTTCTGATTTGGTCATTGGGTTCTGCGCCTTAAATTGTCAAGCAGCTAGTGAACACATATGTTAAAAAATTTACAAATGTAAAACCAATTTATCTTTTTACACGTTTAGTGCTTATGTAATATCTCGCTGCAATGGAATCATGAAACAAGTGTTGAGTTGATTTGAGAATTGCATTGCGTTTTCTCGTCTCCTATTGGCTCCCAGTTGTTACAGACTATCATTGCTGGAGTATGGTTGGACTTAGCATCCAGCAGTAGACCTTTTTCAGTGAAGAAAGCAACATCTTCATTAAAAGGTTTGTTGGGTTCACCTGTAATTTTTACAAAACTATTTTTGAGTTTTTGAATACATTTACTTCAAAAAAAGTCAATAAAACATCCGATCTACGCAATCTATATCATCTTTGTTTTCTCACACCTTTTATCAATTGCTCC